ATTCATTGGCACTTTTATTTATTTATGAAATTGATTTAAAATATTATCAAAAATCGTTATTTCTTAAAAATTGCTTAAACTGTTAGATATTATTAAAATATACAAACGAAAAATACAAATTTACTATCTCAATTTGTATGTAGAATAATAATATAAGTAAATAGGATTTGTTACTTCAACGAAATTGCACGAGATTGTAGTAATCCGTAAAGCTGCTACCATATTTTCTGTTATTCAATTTTTTTTTTACCTCCTCAGTTTAGTACTGTAGTTATCGTATTCTGTTCTATAATAAATTGTCGCACATTTCGAGTTTGAAACTATAATATTTTCTTATTTATATTTTAAGGAGGCTTAAGTGCACTTTTCCCAAACACTGATTAAGAGAATATATATTAAAAAAAAAGTGATTCCATGTTGTGGAAAGAATGATCCTATAGTTAAATGGTAAACAAAATATGATCATATAAAAATACAATACAGCATTTTTCGTAATTTTAACGACCCATTAATCTTTAGAGATATATACTAATTCTTATTGATAAGTAAATATATATAAAAAAAAATGACCTATATAAATTATTTTATTGCCTAACGAGCAAGGGTAATAAATTACCGATGTAATCAAAGCTTCCTAAATAATACAATCGATAAATGTTGATAATAAATTATATATTTCTTTATCCCTCCGCACCTGTAGAAATAGCTATGGAGAGTCGCCAGTCCCGCATCAGATCAGTAAGACGTTGATTTGTCAGAAAAGGTAATGAAATGACTTTAAAATAAAATTATAACTACATAATAATTTGCTACAATATTTATTTGAAATATTGTACCCATTAATGAAGTTCTATTGTTTCTTTATTATGTAAATAAGATTTATTATTCTCATAAAAAATCCTTATTCAGTTGATGTACTTATTGACTTATAATTAATTCTATTCAATTAAAATTCATCTGTAGAAATAAGAAGCTTTACAAGAATTATTGTGATAAATACCCAAGTTCTACTTTGTACTCTGAAGCAATTGAATATTGAAATGTGGTTTAATTGTCGGTCATCGTGAGGTTAACTTTTAATTTGGCTTTATATTAAACAACTTTACAAGTCAATAAATATTTTTTTTAGAATGATAAAAGAAGTTGGAAAATAGTCAACAGGGGACCTATTCAAAAAAATTCTTTATAGTTAATCTTACTTCCAAACATAGAACCATGAACCACCGTTCGTTTCGACATTACTTAAGAGCCGAGAAAAAAAAAATTTAAATTAAAAAAAAATCTTAAATTTGCTCAGATTTCTAGGTAATAATTCGTTATAAGTTAATAATATATACGAATCGGTTGATTTTTTAGTGCATAATAAAAATATATATTGCCTATAGTATTAAACGAATTATAATTTTTCATAAATTATAAGAACCAAAAGTCTTCAAGTATAATAGGCCAAATAAATTTTTGTTATGAAAATCAAATTAGATTCTCTTTTTAGATTCATTTAAAACTCTTTAATACAGATTTTCATAGAAATAAAAAATACAGATTTTAGAACTGGGAATTCCATAACTCCTCAGGATTTTCTCCAAATTCGAAGATTGCGATTAAATTGATCACTCTATTTCAGTATTCTATGTCTGTATATTTCTTTCTATAATACATTCGTTCTATAATACTTCTGTATAGTCTTTTATCCAAGTTTCTTGACAGACCCGCCACAGAATTTATTATCTAATTTAAATTTCTGAAATATAAAATAAAAAATATCGAAAGACTTGTCCTCAATGTCAGAATTGCAATAGAGTTATCCGAAAAAATCCACTGATGACTTAATTCATGAAACTCGTTGTGCAGCATCCTAGATAAAGCTTTCGTAATGAAGGATTGCCGATTGAATGTGACTGATTTGTTCTTATATAGTTATATATTTTTGTCAATTTCCATTTTAACCCCGCTGGGTCGAGTAAATCCAGTTCCGAACAAGTTGTCTACATCTGATAGGTTCATAGAAGAAAATGCGATCACTAAAAAACAGGGACAATGTTCTATAAATTAGAAATATGACACCTTCAATGATGCCTGTGACATTTATGACGAAAATTAGTTATTCAAGCAAAATACATGAGCAAAATACGCAAACATTTCGGTAAACATTAATACGTAAATATTATTTTACATTGAAAGATAAAAATATTATCTCAGGATATCTCAACCTCAACATGTTACGTAATGGAGTATACATTCTTTATTGCATCACTTAGAAGTAGTATTTTTCCGAATATCCTAGATTATTATACTACATTGAATGTGACCCGAGAGAAGTTAGGGTGCATTTGAAATGCACCTGCGTTTAAAATCCATATGGCGTTTCCATTTGCCTTGGAGGCGAAAATGTGGGGAAGAGGAAGACAAAAAAAAAAGTCCTATGGATTTTATTGGTTGTCAGTTAGCGTTTTAATGAATCAATTTTAGAAATAGAGGGCGGGATGGCATATGTGCTAACGCGTGGGCACAGCACCACGTTACGTTGCTCGGCAATCTGATGGAAGAAAATTTGATAAAATAATTAAGATTTCGCGTCCCGGTGTCGGGGGTGCTTTCAACTCTGGTATTAACCTTCCACACTCACTCTCATGGAAAAATCCGTATGGCCTAAAAGGCTAGAAAATCCAAAGGGAGAGGGGTTACATCATAATATTATTTTTTTTTAAATTCAGAAATAAATTACGGCAGGAATACTCAGTAGTTCATTAATTTAAAAATTCTATTAGATTTTCTTAGATAAGCATCAACGAAACAATTAAATCACTCATCTGTTTCTCAGGCACAAATAACAGAAAAACACATCAATGCTTCAGAGTGAGTTCTGCTACTCACGATTTTTCTTCAATTTCATTATCATACTTCTTACTAAATTAAAAAAACAAATACTTGGAAACTCCCAAGACGTACAGATTTTGAAGTAATGGATTAGACATTAAAATAAATAATATTAATTTAAACGAATTGTATGGGGGTTTGGTTGTATACCTATTTACAACAGGCGGAAATACGGGAGGGGGGGGGAAGAGGTCTTTCGAGCTGAAGGCTTTTCTTTACCAAAAGCTTACGGGCTGAAGTCCTCCTTCAAAAATCCTTCAAAGTCCTCCTGGATCTGCTAATGACTTCGAGTAATGAAAAACATTGGAACCAAGTTTATATGAGTAGATATTATGAAGATTAGTGTTTCTGATGTTCAGCGTTGAGAAATGAATCAGAAATTTATTGCAATATTACCACGGCAATGAACGTCTATTCCAACCCAAAGATTAAAACTGCAGGATTTGATTTAATGCTACAATATCTGGCGCCTATATTGGGCAACGAACAACAAACATATAAAACCGTCAATTTAATATATTAAATTAACTAATTCTATTTATATTATACCTCAGTGATGATTTGGCACAGTCTCTACTCTAACTATATTTCAATCATGAAATATACATTGCGAGAGCTGTTTTGCTTAATTACATAATTTTATACCATAGACTTCAGTAACAAAATTAGAAACTGCTTCACTATAACAGTGATACGTCAATCAAAGTAAACTACAAAATTACTTAACAGTAATAACAAAGAGGCATTTAATAGAGGTACAGGCGGTCTACGGGGGGAGGGGGCTTTCGGGCTGAAGCCCCCTCCCCAGAATGGTAAAATATAACCATGTTTTACAGAAAAAAATATTAAAAACTATCTCTTAAAGTATTCTTGTTCCTGTAATTACATTTAATAGGACTTCAGGAACCACTTAAACACCAATTCATATAGGTAGTTAATTTCTTTCTTTTTTTTCAATTTCAATTTTCAATTAAATCCTGGATCCGCTAGTGAATAGAGGACTGTTGCCAGTACAGCCAAAAAAAATGTTCAATTCCGACATTCGTTGACCTTCCGCCAATGCATTAGATGATGATCACAATCTCCTCATACCTTTTCTGAGAAATCCAGTAAGACGCCGAAGATAGAATATATTTTGTACGTTTCCATAAGCCATCTAATAGCATTTAATATCAGCAGTAATTATTTTTGTTCCCTTCAATGAATATAGGGTTCACTGATGTTTTCACGTTCACTCTTCTTGTTTCTCAACTGGAGTGAAAATTATAATATACATGATTTCAATGGAAAATTACGACATTAAACTTAGTAAAATCTAAATTTAAATACTGAACATAAAATAGTATGATGTATGATGTTCTCCAATGTTCCGTGAAAATTATAGCTTATTAAAATTTGTACGCCTAATCTTAATTTCAGATTTATACTCGATTCAAAAAACATTTATTATTACTCAACCGAAACTGTTAATAATTTCAGTTCAAACATTTTTTCTATCTTTCAAAACCATGTTTTTGATATGAATACCTCCATAGCTCCATACCTAATTGTACACTCTGGCGATTGTACACCTTTGAATTCTCAATGTTTGCAGTTATTTTTACTTTTATTGCTTGTATTTTTTCGAGTTATTCTTTTATTCCCAACCACACAAACATATAAACAGTTGATGCCATTTTCCATCAGAATATTTTTTACTTTTGTACTGCTAGATTACCTGGGACAGTCCTGTGTGTAGTTTCATTCATTTGGGGCATCGTTTAGTATCAACAGAACAGGCAATAATAAGTTAATAATTAAATCTTCAAATTTATCTATATAACCATTAAGGTATTAGTTGTCTTCTGTACACTTTATGGTGGGTTTAATAATACTATAAAAAACGAAAATAATCTAATTAAATTCCATCAGATCCATGATTGTGTTCAGATCCTGATTTAACTGGAGAAAGAGTATATACATTATCAACCGCAAATGTTATTTTTATTAAGTAAGATCACTTCGGGTAACTTATAATTTTAAAATGATTATAATCATAATCACAGTATAAGCAATTCCAAAAAAAATAAACAATTAGTATTGTTTAATGTTGTATATCTTGATGTCATTATGTTTGTCTTTAGATGTTCTCGAACGAAACAACGGCGCAAAGACACGAAATTGTAACTTCGATGAAGTTCAGTTGGATAGAACATATGGTTTTCTTCACTTTGCTCATCGCTTCCCTCGCCATCGGAGTGTACTACGGCTTCAAACCGAAGAAGAAAGAAGAAACTGTCGATGATTACATGCTGGGCGGTCGCAAAATGCCTATAATACCAGTGGCCATGTCCCTCGTTGTAAGGTATTTATTATTTTCTTACACATCTCATTAACATTTCAATTATATTTAAGTTGATAAGAAGTCTTTCGCAATATTTTTAAGCTGCTAAAACATTGAAGAAATAAATCAGTTTAAAGGAAGGAGATGGTCCGGGGTTGCGGTCATAAATAGGCTAAATAATGGTAAAACTATTTTATTAAAAGCCGCCGTTTCGACCTTTTCTTTTTTTTTTTGCATTTACATTTATTTATCCGCACCTGTCAATTATTATTGACAATCAGCAGATGTGCTGGCTTCGTAATGAGAGAAAAATAAAATAAAATAAAAAATAAATAAATAAAAAGGCTTGATAGGCATGAGGAATAGCAATACCCAGCGGTATCCCTTCCATGGCTTTTATTTACTAACATTATTTAAGCAGATCCCTCATCCAGACCCTTTTCAGTCGTCTTCTGGATTTCTCGGGCATACTAGTTGTGGCCATTTCTTTTACCAGCTGGTTGGAGTGCCCGTTTAACATGTTATGAAATCGTTTGTAGTACGTTCGTATTTGTTCATTGACTGTCGGAACGTGTAGGTCGGTGTGTAAAGTGTGATTGTTTACGTACCATGGTGCTTGAGTGATTAGTCGTAGTATCTTAGACTGAAAAGTTTGAAGTTTATTTATGTGAGTTGGTTTTGCAATTCCGTATATTTGTAGTCCATAAGTCCAAAGAGGTTTTAAAAGATCCGTGTAAATACTTAGTTTCTGTCTTGCTTTTAATTTGGAAGGTCGTCTTAACAGTGTATGTAACAATTTTAGTCTTAGATTTAATGTGATTCGTTTTTTCTTCACATGTGGACCCCATGTCATTCTCCTATCGAACGTAAGGCTTAGGTATTGTACTCTGTCTATTTGTGGAATCGGTATGTTGTCTAAGTATACAGGAGGGCATGTTTCTGGTCTTAGAGTAAATGTGGATGTGCTGTGACTTTTGATAATTTATTTTAATTTTCCAAAGTTTACACCAATCGAGTATAATTTGTAAGTGATGTTGTAAGTTAAGTGATGCCTCTATAGGATTGTCGTGCCTGGTAATGATAGCAGTGTCGTCTGCGTAGGTGCTGTAAGAGTGTGGATACTTTGAGGAATGTCGTGTGTGTATGTGATGTACAGTAGTGGGGCTAGGTTTGATCCCTGAGGTACACCAGCTAATACTGATCGAATTGAGGATAGACCCTGGCCATGTCGAACGGAGAAAAATCTATCTGAGAGAAAGGAATGGAGAATTAAGTAGTAAGTATGTGGAAGTGTGGTCTTAAGCTTGAAGAGAAGCCCCTGATGCCATACTTTGTCGAAAGCTTGGGCGACATCCAGAAATACTCCGGTTGCATATAATTTCCGCTCTAGTGCTGTAGAGATGTAGTCAGTCACCCTGTGCAATTGTTGTCTTGTTGAATGTAATTTTCGAAACCCGAATTGATGGTCAGGAATAATCTTTCTGTCTGTTAGTATATGTAATAGTCGTGGGTACAATAGTTTTTCGAATAACTTAGAACATACTGGAAGTAAACTAATCGGTCGATATGAAGAAGGGTTGTTAGTGTCTTTGTTTGGCTTTTTAATCATGGTTATGTGTGAGTATTTCCATTCTATAGGAAATTTGGTGGTCCTGAGAATGCAATTGAAGATTGTGGTAAGAAACACTAGAGCTTTCCTTGGCATTTGCTGGAGCGCCTCAGCAGTTATCAAGTCATGACCAGGGGTTTTTCTTTTGGGCAATTGTCTAATTTCTTGTGCAACTTGTGATGGTGTGAAAGGAGGTGGTGGTAGTGTGAGCTGTAGCGGTATGTCTAAGTTATTATGTACAAAAATATCGTGTTCTGTATTAATTAAGTCTGTATGTGGTTTAAAAACAGTGGAAAGGTGGTTAGGAAAGAGTTCAGATCTTTCCTCGTCCGAAACAGCCCAAGAGCCATCCTCTCTTCGTAGGGGTGCTGACACCTCACGATGCTTTAAAAGATTCCTTGTATGTCTCCATAAACTTCCATCGTCCGTCAAAAGGTTGTTAATAAAATTGTCGTAGTTTGTGCTTTTGAATTTTTGAATATGTCTTTTAAGTTCGTTGTTCAATCTGTTAAAAGTTTGTCGGTCTGAAGGAAGTCTATTAGTCTGCCATACTTTACGTGCTCTTCTCTTTGCTCTAATCAAGTGCCTTATGTACATTGGATAATGGGGCAAGTTCGCTGCTTTTTGTGGCCTGGATGTTGATGAGGCCCATGCTGCATCTTGTATGCTTTTAGTGAATTTTTCAACAGCTTCTTTTAATTCCTTATGATTTTTAATTGAACCTGGAACGGAAAGATTGGTGTTCAAATAGTCTCTATATGCGTCCCAGTCCATGCAGCCTTTCATGAGCCTAGGTCTTTTTTGTACTTCGGAAGGCTCATCGAAGAGAACCATGTGCACTGAGGAGTGATCAGAACAAAGATCGGAGGTTGCATTGACGGCAAATGGTACGGTTCTTAGTCCTTTTGTAATAAAGAAATCAAGTAAGTCGGGAGTTTTGCATCTGGAGGTGGGCCAATAAGTTGGTGAATTTGGTGTTACAGTGTCTAATGAAAGTTCATGGAGAACAGACCAGAGATTTCTGCCTCTTGGAGTACACAACCTTGAGCCCCAGCCTTGATGCTCAGCATTATAGTCTCCACCTGCGATGAAGCATCTTCCGAGGCGTTTGAAGAACTCAGAAAACATCGTGGGTGTAAACTTGTACCTAGGGGGACAGTAAACTGAGGCAAATTTTACAGTGTAGTGTTTAGTGTATAGTGTTATTCCTGTCGATTGTATGTCGGGTGTAATGGGTAAGTCTACGGGATTGTGTTTCAGTGAATTTTTGACGAGTATAGCTGTTCCTCCATGTGCAGTTTTATCTGGGTGATCAGTTCTGTAAATTGTGTAATCCTGGATGTAAATTTTTGATCGGGATGTCAGGTGTGTTTCTGTAATGAGTGCTACATCGATTCGTTTTTCGTGCAAGTATAAGTCGAGTTCAGTACTGTGCTGTTTCAGTCCGTTGGCATTCCATAGAAGAACTGACAAGGAGCCTACAGTTAAATTCTTGTGGGCCATAATTTGGGCACCAGACCTGTGTAACCTGTGACAGTTGTTGAAGAAGAATGAAAAGGGGCTGGATTAGGTTATTTAATCCATTAATTATATTAAATAATTGAGAAGAGTCATTATCTACCGGAGGTATCGGTTGGGTAATGCCTCTCCTCGTACCTGTACATGTTTTCTGGTTCGGGGGTGCGGTTCCTCAATTTTAATATGTGAATAATAAAGAAATTCAATAATAAAAATTTCTTCTCTAAATGTCTCTTTTGTAATGTCCACAAAGAACATAGGAAGGGGTTTTTTGAATCTAGATATGACGTTAACTACATTGGTGGCTTCGTAACCCAATTTTTTAAATTCCTCTTTAATGATATAGATTGGTGTTCCATGGTGAAGATGTTTAACAACAATCCTTGGGCATTTGTCCTGTGGAAGTTGGTAGGTATGGAAGTCGGCGCCTTTATTTCGCAGGCTAGAATTTAATTTTCGATAAACGTCAGGATTTTCTGGGTACACAGTGACACCTTTCAATGTAAACTTAGTTTTAAACATATTAGGACCCGTTTCGTTTCTAGAAATGAGATTAATGCATGGTAATTTTCACCACCGTTTATAAAAATTGGTGGAGTTTTATTGTTTTGAGGCGCTCTTCTAACTTCTTCTGTTTGTAAATTAGTAATGTTGGTTAGAACCTGAAAACTGTTCGAGGTTGGGATAGATTCTATCGGTCTTTTTTGAGCTCTTGGCTCGCTCGAATCCATCATAGGTCTTCTACGACCAACAACCAGTTCCCAGGAGCCGTCTTCATTGTTTATATCACTGTTTTAAAGGTCTATGTTACTTACCTCAGTTTGAGATGATTCCACCATTGTTGGTGGTGAAATTCGCTCAATCTTTGTTTGGTGTTTTGTCCTTAGCAATCTTGTCTTGATAAAACACTTTTGTTACACAAAAATTAGGTATTTACACTTAATTAACACTTTTTTGGAAGACAATACTAAATTAACCTTTCACCTTATTTAACATCAACAGCTGTTCTCCGCCGTTTCGACCTGACTTTGCTTTTCTAAGTGAAACTCCTAGCTGAACACACCTCCCTGAAGAAGACCTGCAAAGTCGGGTCGAAACGTCGGCTTTCAATAATTATAAATAATGGTAAAACTATTTTATTAAAAGCCGAAGTTTCGACCCGGCTTTGCTTTTCCAAGTGAAACTCCTAGCTGAACACACCTCCCTGAAGAAGACCTGCAAAGTCGGGTCGAAACGTCGGCTTTGAATAAAACAGTTTTACCACTATTTAGCCTATTTATGACCGCAACGCCGGACCATCTCCATCCTTTATAATGCAACGGTCAAATATTAAATATTCAATAAATTAGTTTAAGTTTGTGTGGTTTGTTATTATGGATCGCCAAGGAGGAAAGTAAAAGACAGGGGAGGGATAGTGTATTACACTTCCAATATTTTGAAATCTAAGTCTTGAAGTCTGTAACATAGATATTTGAGAACCTACTATACTCTTCTTAAAACATTTTACTCAAAAAGTTCAAATTTGTGTTCAAAAGAAATATAAATGAAATTTTCCAGAATTGTGTGGGTTGGTGCCATGTCAATTTGATCATATTCCATCCAGCGCTTCCGCTTACGCACGAGCAAACGTATATTTTTTTAGCTATACCAATATTTCAGAAACATCTCGTTAGATTTAGCTCTAAGTTGGATGAAAAAAATTATAATAGTGTCGATTTTATTGAATTCTTGCTTTTCATTTTTATAGATGCGCAACCGTGTTATCCTTGATACGCCTATATCTCTAAAACCGCCCATTCGATTTGGCTCAAATTTGGAGAGAAGTTAGAGATTGGTAAACAGATAATCAAGTATGTATGAATTTATGAATCGAAATCCGTACACTACTCCAAAAAATAATATTTCCGCTTTCAGATTAGGAAATTTATTATTTTAAACGCCTATAGTTTAAAAACCGCCCGTTCGATTTCACCCAAACTTGAAGTAAATTTGGAGAATAGTATAGAAATTACCTGGTATCAATTCTATTTAATAATTAAAATTAATATAAATAATCGTTAACAATATAATAGCTGTGAAATGTGGAATGCATTGATCATCTGGAGTGGAAGTTCGGTTAACACCAAGGTCAATAAAACTATCTATAAAACTAAATAAAAGGTGGGTTAACACAATATTTTTGTGGGGTTATAAAATTTAAGGTTTTATTCAAAAAGTTGATTTATAATGTATTCTTTGGTCGGTTCCAAACGTTATTGACATGACACTTATTGCCGTTACTTATATTTCGTGTAATTTTCAGTAAATTTTAATTAATCTATATAAATAGAAATATAACAATATTTCATTGATATGTTTATAACCTTAAATACTTTTGCTGTAGTTTAATAACTCTAGATATGATATTATATTTAAACAATTAGGTATCTATTGGCCGTTTATTCCAAAAAATCATCAAGTAACTTTTTAGAAAATTAAATTAGTGAATAATTTGATGAATCCTCCCTTTGTGATATTCCAATCGTATCCACTACTATTTCATTGTACTTGTGTGAAAGAAGAACTTGTGTGAAATATAACAATATTTCATTGATATGTTTATAACCTTAAATACTTTTGCTGTAGTTCAATAACTCTAGATATGATATTATATTTAAACAATTAGGTATCTATTGGCCGTTTATTCCAAAAAATCATCAAGTAACTTTTTAGAAAATTAAATTAGTGAAAAATTTGATGAATCCACCCTTTGTGATATTCCAATCGTATCCACTACTATTTCATTGTACTTGTGTGAAAGAAGAAGTGAAATATAAAAATATTTCATAGATACGTTTACAACCTTAAATATATTTACTGTAGTTTAATAACACTAGATCTGACATTATATTTAAATATTTAGGTATCTATCGCTCGTTTATTTCGAAAAATCATCGTGTAACCTTTCAGATAATTAAATTAGTGAATATTTTGATGAAATTTCCTTTTGTGATACCCCAACAGTATCCACTTACAATTAGTGTGGATTACAATTAGTGACAACTATTGATCTGTCTATGACAGACAATGCAAATCTCTTAATTACAACTTTGCATTGGAAAATAACAGTTTAATAACTAATAGTCATACAATCCATAATCAACGGATCGTACAACCCATAATCAACGGATCGTACAATCCATAATCAACGGATGATATAGTAAATACGACTTTTGTTATTTTAATGGTATTTATTATTTGTTAGCTGTATTTTTTTAGCTTTAGCTCGGTTAAGAATGTAATTCAAAAATTTTATAGTTGCCAAACATGGTCAGAAAATAATTTCTATTGAAAGTTGAGCGGTAAATGAAAGTGTGTGTTGCGCGCACCAAATTTTTTATATTAGAGTTAATTCCGAACAATCAAAAAATTAGAATTTTCCTAGTAAGTGTATATCATAACTGTTAGTGCAAAAGATCGTATGTAAATATTTTCAACTTTCATTCTATTTGTGCTAAAGATGACATTTTGTAGTCTGCAACTGATACAAGTAGTCTGCTACTATGGAAAATAGCAGATGGCAATAAAATATGATATTATACTAATAAAACATAAAGAAACAACTAGTTGTTATGCTGTCCTGCAAAATTGAATTTCTGAATACGGCTTCTCCCAGAGATTTTATTCTCATACGAAAAATGCTAAATATGTAATATAGATATTTTTTAGCCAATGAAAACGGTGAGGAAGCTATACTGACCTTACTTGGCATTATTTTTTTCAACGTTTCTACATCAAGTTCAGGCCTTCGTCAGGGCTGATCTCACGAAAGGTTCCCGTAAGAAAAAAAAATTGATGAGAAGTTGGTTTGGTTTTTCAGTCAAAAATACAAAGTAAAAATAAATAAAAGATATTTATTTTTAATTTGTATTTTTAACTGAAAACAAACTTCTCTTCAATTATTCACTAAAGTCAACCATTAATCCACTATTATTAAAACATACTCTCATATAAATATACTCATTCATTCATTTTTTTTTTAAATTTAATTTCAGGGAAATGCCGGTTCGATTATTGAAATTGTTGAGAAATTAAGTACCAAGGATTGAATGTTTTATGCAATCGTGATGAAACAATGGGAATCGGAGAAGTTTTTATTTCCTCTTTGTTCGAAAATAAAAATGTGTAATGACGGTTCTGCTTATTAGTAATTGAGATATCTTGAATAGGTATTGCATAGAAAATGGATTCACCTAATGTATACTGAAGAGCTGCAGAAGAATGAAACCAATAATAAAATAGTGATAAACGTTTGTAAAAGATGTTTTTATATTTTCTACAAAAACCATATTCTTCTGCCTTTTGTAAGACGAAGAAAGAGAAATTTAGTCGATTTATTTATTTAATCAGTTCTAGGATCATGAGTTTGGAAAATAAAATTAAGCGAATCGAACAGAAAACTAGAAATAAATTACTCATGGCATGTTGCAACAGTCCTAGATAATGTTGCCCAAAATCGGTATTGATCTTGCACTTTGCAAGTCCAAGACCAAGGCCGCATAATTGTTGCAATACCATGAAGGGAAAATATTGGCTTTTTCCTTGAAATAGAAATAAAAATATCAAACACTCATCATGATATTAAAATGAGTCCAGTTAAATTAGCACAAACAAGCGGGTCTAGTTAGCAAACCCCACCACTATTCTGATTTGTGAACTGAGGGACATTTATAGCCTCTTGTTCAATTATTTCTTTAATAATTTATCAAGAATCTACAAGATCTTTATTAATATTCTTATTTGTTTTATATTTTTCTTCGGAAATGTTAAATATTTGCAATTTATTGAAAGCCGTCAGCGGAGGGCGGATTGAGTTTTCTATTCGTTTAGGAACCCCATGAATACAATTCTGCTATTTTTAGAGATGTCAGTTTTATATATATATATATATATATATATATATATATATATATATATATATATATATATATATATATATATATATATATATATATATTCCCAGCTACATTTTGGCTTCCCAAAACTCGGTTTTAGCTGAAATTCGATATACAGAGTTGGTTCCCAGGTGAAACAATATTATTAAACTAAGGATACATTTCGTCAAAATTTTCGCATCTAAGAGCGTTTTCCTTCTGTTTTTAAAGTATTGCGCATCTCTACAACTCTTTATATTAAATATTAAAGTTAAAATGTTCAAACTATATTATGTTGGTGTTGGTGAACTGGCTTTGTGGGGTCTCATCCATCCATTTTCAAAATGGTGTCGGAAAAAATCGTTTCTCTAAAGATTACAGCACTAAAATGGCTGTAACGGTTTTGATAAAAACTTCTTTAAATAAAAAAAAACTTTATAAAGTATTTCCAATTAAAACTTAAAAAATTATCTACATATCATAATTCTACAAAAAAGAACTAGGGAAAAAGTTCTGATTACCAGAAAATTTTATTTTGTGATAATACATCGACAATATATTAAAAAGTAAGCATTTTTTTAATTTGAGAATGATTGTGTATTGGTTTGAAAGATATTTTTTTTTCTACATAAAAAAATATATATCATTGAAATCGGACCATTTGTTTCCAGAGAAATGGTCCGTTTTGAATTTTGTTATTCTTTGTTTTTATGGAAATTCGATCTTCAGTATTTGAATTTTTGATATCTCAAATCTAACATCTATATTAATTATTAATTTTATATTTATTTTTATGCCCATTTTTATTTCAGTTTTGTTTCGGGGATCACTCTTATTGGATTTCCGGCTGAAATGTACTTTTATGGAACGCAGCTCTTTGCTGTTAATTTTTCCATCTTGATTGGTTTCCTTCTCCTAAATATTTTCTATCTTCCTGTGTTTTACCACCTGAAATTTAAATCTTTATATGAGGTATGTATGCTTATTGTTTCATATATTTGGCTTATATGTATTATATGAATATTTAATTAAGGTAATTTTTATTTTTATAATTTTTACAATTTTTTAAAAATTGTATTATTATTTTTTATGCTTAGTATCTTGAGAGAAGATTCCACAAAAGTGTTAGAGTTTTAGCATCAGGAATTTTCGCTTTTTCGTTGGTAAATGAATTTAGCTATTCAATACAATTGTTATTGTAATATAAAATAATTTAAATTCTTTAATCTGTTATTATTTTGGCTTGATTTCAGTTGCTTTATATACCTGTAGTGATATATGTCCCTGCTCTTGCATTTAACCAAGGTATTAATTAAATTAATTTTATAATAGCCTAATGAACTATAATTAAGGTCATTCTGTAGCATGTTTATGTATTTTGAGTTCAAGGGTACCAAACCATTATGGATAAAAAGAAAGAGGAAAGATTATAAAATACAATGAAATGAATTTACACCATTCATTCGTAATTATTTCATTCTTAATTATAAATATGTATGTTCAATAATACATATTTCCACACATATTTTTAGCTCAAGGGTACCAAACCTTTATGGATAAAAAGAAAGAGGAAAGATTATAAAATAAACTTACACCATTCATTCGTAATTATGTATTTTAAATACATATTTATGTATCAGTTTTTGAAGCATACAAACATAAATCTGCCTATTTATCGCATACATTTATTTTATTGTTTTAATAACATAAAAATTAAGAAAGTCTTGAAATTCTACTTATTACATTTTTTTACTACCAAATAGTGAGTGCTATTGATCAGATCGATATAATAGTTAGCAATAATATACATAAACGAAAAGTTTAAAAAAATTCTGAGTTAGTAACAAATTCAATTTTTTTTCCCATAAATTTCTATATGAAATTTAATATTTGTTTTCCATATCAAATTTCACTTTTACAAATATTTAAGGTAACATTTCATGTGATTTGATTAAGTAAAATAACTGTTAACGTTAGTGTATTTTATTGATTAAAAATTGTTCAATAATACATATATATATATATATCGTAGGTCATAGATGAGGAATCTTTTTATCATTAGAGGCCGTGACAAGTTTATCAGTGCCAATGGTGGCCACAACAATGCGTTATATTTTACATTGTTATTTTAATTTAACACTAAAACACACACCCAGATACATAAATTCAACTTAAATCTATTAATTCCCAAATAGTCTTTACTTAAATAATTAAATAATAATTAATTCTAGCCCTAGATTAATAAATATAAAGTAAAAACGTTTGGAGGCCACATACTCCGAGGACACAACTACATCACAGAGGCCACATGCACGTCACAAGGAATTATTATAAATATTTCGCGATTAACTCATAAATGAGTTTCAAAATATAGAATAATCACATAATTTATTACGAAACAAATGTTGTCCAGGACAAAGACCTGAAGGATGTAATATACATTTTTTGTCATCTCTAAATTCGCCAATGTATTAATTATACATAAAATTAAACCCCATCCGCTAAACGTAAACTCTGTAGGAACCTTGTATTTATTTTACAGATCAATGAACTTAGTTATTGGTTATTTAACAAACTACAGTGTTGTTATGTTAAATTTTAATAAATAATATAAAATTATTAATATAGGCCCACTATTATTAATATAAAATACATATTTCCTATTTTGTAGTGACCGGGATGCCGCTCTACTTATTGGCCACAGTAATTTGCGCCATATGCATCGTTTACACTTCTTTGGTAATTAATTATTTTCTATAGGTGTATTTGTTCTTATTTATTTTATTTAATGAATCACTCGTTAACATTTTCAGGGCGGTTTGAAAGCAGTTGTCTGGTCTGATGCATTGCAGAGTATTTTCACTTTCGCAGCGATGATTGCAGTCATCATTTTAGGCTGTGCGAGTATTGGTGGTATTTCGAAAATGATAGAAATAAATAGAGAAGGTGAAAGGCTGGAGATTTTTAAGTGAGTTTTTACCATGATATATATACATAAACTCATTCACACACACACACACACACACATATATATATATATATACAGTTCTTAATGGCCAAACTCTCTCTCTCTCTATATATATATATATATATATATATATATATATATATATATATATATATATATACAGTTCTTAATGGCCAAACTCTAGGGGGGGAGAGGAAAGGGAGAAGAGGGGATGGTTACCAATTATAACAGTTAAGACCAAAATTACAAACAAAAATTGGTCTTAACTGCTTTCCCGTTCGAAATCGGCCCATGCGTCAAATGAACTTTTTTGTTGGAAATTTTGTCACTCTGAATATAAAATATAATATACGTAAATGCATAGGGAAATTCGTGTAAATTGGGCCACAATTTACTGAGAACAGGAAATTTCATCTGCAGAAAGTTCAGGATTTGTGGCAACATTGAGTAGACTTTACAGTCAGAACTTTTCAGCTGATTTTGTTGCCTTTGATGTGGTTTTTAATGATATTGATAAGTTAGCAATATTGATTAGAGTTGAAAAAGTAATTTTTCGATAGTTGATACGATCATTTTTTATCAAAAAGGTACATAAATATATTCGAAATTATTAGTAATATTAATATTGATGTATAGTAATCTGTTTAGCTTCTTTTGAATGCAAGCTAATTAATCTATGAAATTAATCTTTAAAAAATAAAGCCATATCATTGCACCTTGGCTCACTGTTTCACGATGTTATTTATTATATGTTGGGCTGGCCGGAGGTACATTAGTATAATTTAAAAATATGCCTCTTGTGAGGATAAATTCTTTCATAGTGTTTACCACAGGCGGATCTACGATGGGAGGGGTTTTTGTACTGAAGCCTCCTCCCCCCCCCTCAGAATGGTAAAATGTAATCCTGTTTTATGAAAACACATATTAAAAAATTAGCTCTTAAAGTATTATTGTTCGTGTAATTAATTACATTTAATAGGACTTCACGTACCTCTTAAACACCATTTCATATAGGTAATTGTTAGTTTATTTTTTCTGCCAAAGTAATTATCGTTATATATGTGAAAACAAAAATCTATCGGGCTGAAGCCCACCCAAAATTAAATCCTGGATCCGCTAGTGGTGTTTACTGAAGAAAAAGTTTATAAAATATTATTTACTGACTGCACGCGTATTATGTGAGAGGCTTTCAATATATGATATGAAAATGTTAGCTTATCTGAATTGAAAAGCCAAAAAGATAATAACAAATTTCTCATGGGGAATAATGACTTGTTGAATTTCAGATTCTTGGCCAGCAGGAGTTTCATGGTGCAAGCTGTTGCATTTAACATTTTTGAGGGGGGGTACATTTTGATGGGGTTTTGAATTTTTGAGAAGGGAACATTTCTACGGAGTTCTGATTTTTCTGAATGAAACGTTTCAACGAGGGCATGTAAACATGTAACAGACCGCAGTAATTGTAATTGTATATGATCTACAAGATTTTAAAGTTTACTTTCACTTGAACTGTTTTAAAGAAGAAAGCGATAAAATATCTCGGAAGGAGGGGGGAGGTTCTTGCGTCATGGATCTTGAAGGAGAGAGGGGGCGATGAATGGGCACCCCCTGTTAATCTGTGTATTCATTAAGAACTCCTCGCTCTACGTGTATTGCATGTGAAAAACTGGTTTAAGTAAACCTAATTTTTTTTATAATTATGGAAATTGATACAAATGGCTCATATCGTGTGTGTTTCACAGAACCAGCATACATACAGGACATACAGGATGAAGATCCACTCCCCTCTCCCTCCGAAAAAAATAAGACAATTTTTCAATTTTGTTGCTATATTATAACCTATTAAACCTAATATTAAATGCAATTTTACAATTATTTTAGTGATACTTATTATTCAATAATAATTATAATAAATATAGCACTTAAAACTACTCGTAGCCCAAGTTATAAGTAGTGGTCCAAGGTAAAACTAATTAATTATATTTTTTGGAGGCATGATTGCCTCCATCCCTCAATATTTTGAAGCAACAAAAAAAGTTAAAATTAATAACAAATAAGCTATACGAATCACTAAAATCTCTTAAAACAATAAAAAAAGTCAACGAGCTGCTAGCTAAGAGAAGGTTATATGTAGGTTCCTAACTATTGTATCACGACCTAATTATCCTTTTTACTTAAATTTTCATTCATATTCAGAAATAATAATATATAGCTACATACCCTGGAATTTTCACACCATATTCTAATCAAAATTTCTACAGAAAAGTTGAATAAATATATTTAATAAGTTTACATATATTTTATAAAAAATTATTTTCACAGACACTATGATATAACTAGTCAGGCTGTGAAAACGGGCGTAGTAATCTAACAATTTGTCGCTTTTAAACTCCTACAGTACCATACTCTGACTGTGAAATCGTTGTATTTTTATTTTGACAGTGTACAAACTAAGAAAACAAAAATAGTTTTTAGTTTTTAACGTTATTCATTTTTAGTTGGAAAAGTTCTAGAGGCTGTCTCTCCCCTCCCCCATGAATAATTACTTTTAATTATAATAATAATAATAATAATAATTATACACAAATATGTAATGTATCAATTTGTTTAGTTCAGATATCTTCAAGTACATTTTATCCATATGTATAATTAAAAATTCTAAACTATACAAACATATCACGTTTTTTTTTTTTTATTCGTTTCACTATAAATATGTTGAATTTTACATACAATATTGAATTTTACATACAAAATTGAATTTTACATATTTCACATATCAACTACCGCCATTTTTTAATGGAAAGTCAGCCCCTATGATTACAGGTTTTGAAAAAAAAAACTCCTGTCAATTAATTATTGTGTATAATATTGCAGTATTTAATTATTTTTTAGTAAGTGATACATTCCTAAATTCCGTTGGGACTAAATATTGTCTCATGTTATTTTTATTGGAACTTATATTATCATTGGCTAAACACTGTGATAAGAGCATTACGGTGACGCTTTCAAACGCATGTTTCAAATATGAGAAATTCCATTGAAATACAAATATGACTATTTGTGTACCGAGAAGTTTTCATAGTTATCTTAACTCACAATTACAAACATCGGATTTTTTGTTGACTAGTGCACTGTAACATTCCATTGCCAATAGGGCAGGAGAGGAAAAAGAAAATAATTTGTAGTAATATTTTTATTAAATATACCTGTTGAAAAAAAAAAAATCCATTATAATGTATTTGTTCGTATTAATATTATCTGATTAATCTTTCGAAGTTCTTCTCTATGTAATCGTACAAAAATAATCGGAATCAATAACATTTAAAATGTACAACATAACAATCAACATTATATTAAAAAAAAACCAACTATTTACTTAGAATCATTATACATTATTGCACTAACATTGTTTGTGATTTCTTCTATGATCCTAAAATCCATCTGTAATATTTTATCAATATTAAGTTTTAAAAATTTCTATAATGTATTGTTCTAGAGAATAATCACAATTGGCCTTATATTCATGTTACAAACTATTATAAAAACGATTACACCTTGTACTAATCTATTATTTTAATTTTTCTATCATTCACATATATATTTATTTCTTTAATGATTTATTTTGCTTCTTTTTATTTTGTGATAATTTTACTACTTTAGAAATAGAAATAGGAAAATAACTTTATTCTGGGACAATGTCCCTTGAGAATAACAGCAGATACAGAAAAATAGAATGAATTTCTAGCTGGAAGACTAAAAGATATTGGAATATTGAAGAAAATATTGGAATATACAAGAAAAAAAAAACATTAGGTTAACTAAAATATGTACATCAGCGGTAAAGAAAAACAAAATAGCTTGTTTCGTGGTGAGGGTCCCCGATTCGGAAGAGTTGGAAAGAATAGGGAGGAGCATCGATTTATAGACTACCATTTTAGTTTTTCTCGTCAAGTCCCTTTTACCCAGGAAAGTCCTTCGAAGCAAACTAAATACTCCTCCAGCTGCACCGATTCTCTGTGAAACTTCTTCATCAATGTAGCCACTTTCGTTGAGATGAGCACCTAGATATTTGAAATTATAGACCTGCTCTAGTCTTTTTCAGTTCGCTATAATCACCCTCATTATGCTCCGTGGTTTCTTCCCTATCCTCATACATTTGGTCGTAAACGAGTTAATTTTCATGTTTATCGTGGCCATTTTCTCTTGAAGAACATTTATGTTGTAGTGGAGGTCTCGGTCGTTGGAAGCCAGCAAGACCAGGTCATTCGCTAAAACTAACACAGAAAATCGTATGGGTTGTAAGTTCCTGTGTCTTAACTGAAACTGTGCCATCCTCAGTTTAACTTTCTGTATCGCTTTATCTAGGCCTACTATGAAGAGCAGCGGGGTCAAGCTACAACCTTGACGAGTATCTGATTTTCTCTCGAACTCCTGTGATACGTGGTTCCTTGTTCTAACCACATTCCTGGTTTTATTATAAAGACTCATCACTGCCAAAGTCTTTCCTCTATTGATGCCTCTATCTGACAGCGCCTCTCTATGACTCTTTTTCTCACTTTATCAAAAACCTTTTGAAGGTCCACAAAGCAAACCGAAAGTTCTTTATTATTTTCGATAGTCTTCTCTATTATTTTTCGCATTGTGAAGATGAGATCTTGCGTGCTTCGTTGTGTTCTGAAACCGTATTTTTCTTTTCCAAGCTGACTATCGATCACTGTTCTTATTCTTGTCTCCAGTATTCTAGAGTACTTTGCTGGGTATACTGAGAAGTGATATTCCACGGTGGTTGTCACACTCTCGATTGTTCCTTTTCTTATATATTGGAACGATCACTTCAACTTCGCAGTCTTAGGAATTCTTTTTTCTTTCCAAATAGATTCAAAAGATGGAGGAATATCTCTTGGCCTTTACTAACCATGTATTTGATCATTTCGGGAATGATCTCGTCAAGACCCGCTACTTTGCCCAATTTGACTTTGTTGATAGCTTCTTGAAGTTCTTCTTCACTGATGTAGTCGTCTTCGACCCAAACCTCCTCTGCATCCCTCTGGGTCTCACCTAGTTCTACATCTCTTCAATCTAACAGATCTTGGAAATACTCCCTTCATCTTTCCATGATGAATTCATCACGTCAGATAATGTCTCCATTTCTATCCTTGATTCCCTTCAGAGAAGTCGGTCATTTCCCTCTCATTCCTTTGAGAACATTTTTTCTTTAGAATTTTCTTCGAGCTTCCGACCAAAATCTTCCCATGATTTTCTTTTCGCTTCCATCACTTTTAACTTCGCTTCTTTCCTCCGATCCTTATACACTTGATAAGCAGCGGGAGTTTTCAGTCTCAGGTGAGTCTTCCATGCTTCCTTCTTTTCGTAGATCGCCTTTTTAACATTTTCTGTCCGCCAGGGAGTTCTGGGACGAAACCTTACCCCCTTCTCGCCAAAGCCAATTTTGAGGCATCAAGTTGGCAAAATCGCTCACTAAAAAAAAAAATTAATAAATAAATTTAGAAAAATGAAAATTACTTCTGTTATCTATATGTTCACATATACTCTAAACCAAGTACTTATAGTTAAACATAAAGAGTTCAATTTCTATTTATGTGTTCTAATAAATATATTTTTATTTTATTTCTATTTTTTATTATGCCTATATAATGGCTTTTATTCGTCACAGCTATTTTGGCATTATAACCTATAGAAACACAGGTTTTTCTGTCACCATTTTGAAACGAAACGGCGGATTGTAACATTCTTAACTCCGAGGAACGTTTTTAGCCGTCCTTTGACACTGGTGCCAAATCAAAATCGGACCAGTTACCCCAGAGATAATCCACAGGTGGTGGACGAACAATTCTTTTTTTATTCTACATCTGGATTCTACGTATCTTTAAACATAAAACTTTAAATTTTGAGGTTCTTCGAACTTCTTTGTTCTTCGCTTACAAATATTTATTATTGAGTTTAATAAATCAAATAACCTGGAACCCACATACTAGACTCAAAAGACAAGAACTCAACCGACGATACGGCCAACTATACCGACTACTAAACAGAAAATCTAAACTTTCCATTGAAAACTAGCTACCGATCTATAAGACAATACTGAAACCTATTTGGACTTACGGACTAGAACTATGGGGATCAGCAAAAATTTCTAACATCAAGCTCATCCAATTCTTCCAGTCAAAAGTCCTTCGAACAATAGTCGATGCTCCGTTCTATGTAACCAACAAAACCCTACATCATGACCTCAACATCCCATTTGTCCTAGACCTTATCCCAGAAAAATCCTCCACATTTCACCAGAACCTTACGTACCACCCAAATCCTCTTGCACAATCCCTATCAAGCACCTCCCATCCCTATAATCCTCCAAGAAGGTTGAAACGGCAGTGGCCTCGCGACCTTTTGTAGATTGTATACATTGGAGTTCTGGCAATGGCCAGATTCTTCACTCAAGACATGAGTGTATGTGGCTAAAGTGCTCTCGACCAATTTCCGCTGGGTTTAGTACCAGTGACGCGGTTGAGAGAGTAGCGCAGGGTTCTCCTGGAGTTCCCTCGCCTGATTGTATGTAGGTATGCATGTGCTTTTTTTTTGCTTAGTTTATATAATTTGTGTGTGTATATACTTTTGATTATTATTTTGTTCTATTTATTTTATGTTTTTTTTTACATATAGTGTGAATGTCATCCTACCTCACTATAACCAATGTCCAAGAGACAGATTGTTGTATTACTCAGTAAAGAAATAAAAATAAAAATAAATCAAAATTCAACAATCTGAAATATTGTTAATTCTAACCCAAAAAAAATCTGGTGCACGCACCACACAATTTTCACTTACCGCTCTACCTTGAATAGAAATTATTTTCTGGGAATAAAATTTATAGCTAACAAATCATTAACTTTAACAAAAACTCTATTAATTATGTAAACAGTAGGCAATAAAAACCTCATTACTCCATCTGTTTTTGTAAACCACAGAACTCCAATCTCTGAGCTCTCTCTCTATATATAGAAATATATGCCTAGAGAGATTTGAAAGTATATTATATAATATAACCTACAAATGATTATGGATTGCACGCCTATTTTTTATTAAAATGTTATTTTCCATTGTAAAGTTGGCTAGAATGATATTACGAGATTTTCATAGCCTGCCATAGAAAGGTCAACAGTTGTCACACTAATTGTAAGTGGTTGAAGATAGGATTCTACAAAGCAAAAATTCATCAAATTATTCACTAATTTAATTTTCTAAAAGGTTACACGATGATTTTTCGGAGAAAACGGACAATAGATTTTTCTGCTTTCCAACGATATATTATACTTATACCTTCTGACTATTATTTCCGATGATTCATTTTCGAGATATATAAATATTTTTCATGTTTTCTCCTTTATTCAATTACCAAATTCTGTCAAAACTTATATTAAGCCTTTTTTTAATTATTTTTATCAATGAGGAATAGTTAATTATTTAAAATAAATCAAATTAAAGGTACTTTAGAGGAAGACATGAGAAGAACATTGGGCATTTGCGCCCTGTAAAGTGACATCAATGGGGATAAGACCTAAATGATATTAAAGACCACTTAATCATACCATGATGCACCGAATTTAATCAAAACGTTTGAGTCGTTTTTGAGAAAATTATAAAAATGTGTTTCACCGTTGACATCAAGTGGCACTTCCGGTCAGCCGATTTTGACAAATAAATTGCTGTAACATCCCAGGCATATACAAACCTTAAATATACAATTTCCCTTTCGTACGACTTTTCGATTTCTTTTTTATCTATACTGATAACAAACACACATACCATTTTTCGGGAATTGGTTATTTGGACTCAGGGAACCTCGAAACGTTTGTTTCCGTTGAATGTAATGCTTTTCCTTACTGTATATATATATCTTATATTGATATATTAATTATATAAAAGGTAATTAGAGGAAAAATATTCATTTTAAATTTTTTATATATATTTTCTTGAGTAGCTGTGCATGTCCCATTTGAAAATAATATTGTGGTTGTATTAAGAATATATCTCAGATCACTAACATAACAGATAAAAACCAGTATGACCAATGAAAAATCAAATAAATATTTTGTTTTATGTTCAACAACTTTCTTCCACGTGACATTTTCGTAGTATGAACAGAGAAAGAATTGGATAGTAAAAAAAAGGTAAATACGTGAGACAAAATTTGTTTTTTTTTAAATTAGCAATTGTTGAGCATGGATATCTCGGAAACTAAACTAGATAGCGTAAAAATGTATATCATCAATTGTTGCAAATTTGATCAGCTTTAATTTTTTATAGAACGTCTTGATCGCTGCAATGGATAGTTCCTCTGATATGAGCGTCAAATTAAAAAATCTTATCTTCGGGGTGCCGCCACATCCGGCTCACATTCTAGGAGTGGGGATTTTTAGTATGTTCACCTCCTAACAAAGTCCCTAACACAAAAATTCTGTCCCTTCTATTTCTTTCTATAATCATTCATTGACTGGACTAAATAGTTTTTTTTTTTTTTTTTTTGTTAATAGTTTCGATCCGGATCCTTATAAGATGTACACATTTTGGACTGTTACTTTTGGACTGCTACCCATTCAGACGAATTTTTGCGCAACTCATCCAGCAGCCATTCAGAGATACATATCGCTGCCCACCTTTCGGCAAGCAAGGATGTGGGTTCAACAATTTTAGTTAACTTAAAGTATTATTACTTTTTTCTATTAATTTTCTACAATTTTCAGAGTTACTATTGCTATGTTTGTCGGAATCGTTTTGTTCAAGACCTTTAGCACGTGGATGGGTCTTATCATATACGCCAAGTACCATGACTGTGACCCGATAATGTCGGATGTGAGAAACTTTTAAGTTTTTTTAAATTTTGTTCTTCTCATTGCCAAGGTTTTGACAACTGTGCGATCTGTTACAGCACATTAAGAAACCTGGACAATTGTTGCCTTACTTCGTCATGGATGTGGCCAGCGAATACCCAGGGCTTGCGGGGATCTTCCTATCCGGCGTTGTCAGTACAGGTTTAAGGTACCTCAATTATTATAGCTATCGTTAGGTGTATATTTAAATTTAATTTTAATATATTAAATCTGCTGCTACTAAAGTTAAACGTAAGGTAGTTGTAGTCGTTATTGAATGTAACAATGCTACCACAAAATTACTCACCAAAATAAATGCTTCACCGTTATCTTTAATATGATTCACGATTGAGATGTAAGAACCGATTCTTTGTTACTTTTTTAAGTGATTTTTTTTTTACACTTTGGGGAATCGATTAAAATATATTTAGTAATAGTAAACACATTAGATAAACAATCAATTATTTCAAGATCTGAAATAAAAAAATTAGTATATATATTTACAACTTTTGAAAATATTGCATAAAGCACTACTTTATTAGTTATCTCTATCATTTTAATTTATTTTTAATAGGCAAGTGGAGAATGAGCAAAAGTGATATGTGGGCCTTCACAATTAGGGCATACATGTGCCGTAGATTTTTTTTCTATCTCATACGATTAAACTAACGCTCCAATAAACTGCAGAGGATTCAGGATTTAATTTTGGTAGCCACCTCTTTTTAAAAAATATTTTTACAGATAATTATAGGAACAATGACATTTCTAGAGATAATATGTTTAGATTTTTTTCTTAACGGATGATTACATCTATTATAAAAATAACTTTATTTTGACACAATCTTCCTTGAGAATAACAGTATTAAAAATACAATGTATATCTGGCCAAAAGATAAAAAGATATAAAAAATAAAAAATAGGTTAACTGAAATATTTACCTCAATGGTGAAGAAAAATAAAAAACAATGGGTTTCCTATAATAGGTTGGCAAAATCTCTTACTAAAATTAAAAAAAATAAACAATAATAAAAAATGAAAATAAATTCGATATCTAAAAATATTTGAGTAAATTTACATAATTATACAATAATAAAAGAATTTAAAAAAATTGTTTTCAAAATTAAAATATATAAGAAGAAAAGATATTCTAACTGTTTAAGTATCTGGCCTACATCACTCATAGAATCAAATATGAACTAATAGAAAAAAATTCTAATTTTTTTTTTTGGATGGACGAGCCTTTGGTCTGAATTTATACTATTATTTCTAATAATACTATTTCTATCCAAAAATTCTATCATTGAATTAGAATTCCATTTTTTGAAAATTCCATTTCAAAAGATACTAATCAAAAGTTAAGTTTTCGAAATATAACTACTATGATTTTTCTATGTAGTACATCATCCTTATTTTGTTTTAGTACCATGTCAGCAGGGCTGAATACGGTGGCTGGAACTTTATATGAAGATTTCGTGAGACCACTCTTGCCTCGGAGGTTAACAGACAAACAGACTAATCTAATGTTAAAAATAATTGTGGTGATCATTGGTGCAATATCTGTTTTATTAATTTATGTGGTAGAAAAATTTGGAACAATAATGCAGGTATTATTATTTAAATAATTTATATTTTTTGACACTGAACATTTGATGGTATTATTTAAAAATAGATCAATAAAACATATCATTTTGTAATGTTTTCTTTACTTTTTTGGAAGCATCTGGTATAATAATACACCATGTCCAAAACCAAATCTATAATGTTAGTTATTATTTCGTTGAAGAATTTGATGTTATTTAATTCTTGAAATAGAAACAGTTGTGTTAGAAAGGCCTGTTTTGGAGTTATAACTCAATTAATCAAAAATTTCAAAATTTTATTTATAGTAGATAACCATTTTATATTCTGGCGGATCCAAGTATGACACGTTTTTCTACTTTTGCTGTCGGACTATTGAATCAGCAAAAATATTGGCAAATCATAAATCTGCGTTATTATTCATTTATTTCCATTATCTGAGCATTATGGTGGTGTAAGAAATTAATGATTGTGAACGACATTGTTACATTACCTGCTGGTAATTACTGGCATAGCCTGCTAATATGAAAATGACTATTTAACACCTCTTAATAATTGGTTTTCTATGTAATTAATTTAGTAGGTTATAACTTTTTTTGAAGGAAAATGGTTTTTTACTTTTTTTTTGGAGAGTGATTTAGATTGAGTCGTCAGATCTCCCATGTGTAACGCTCGGGTAAAGTCGGCTGGCTTCGACTAATTCAAGTGTTTTTTCATATGGATTAAAATATCTCAAAAACTAAAAATCAGACCTGCATATTTATTAAAATATCTCAGAGACTAAAAATGTGACCAGCATACTGTAAGCGGAGGGAATTGTTCAGCATTTCATCCTCTTTATAATGAGCTATTATTTATAATTTATATTTGAAATTATCAATGTCGCCTTGTTGATGTTTTCACTTCTGTCGTGTGGTCTAAAGTACACACCTTAGTTGTTTTTTAAGGATTTAATTTTGGGGGGGGGAGAGGGGAAGCTTCAGCCCGAAAACTTTTTTTTTCATACATATAACGATGATTACTTGGGAAAAAAATAAATAAACTAACCACCTATATGAAATGGTGTTTAAGTGATTCTTGAAGTCCTATTAAATGTATAATTAGACAAATAATAATAATTTTTCTCATAAAACATAGTTATATTTTACCATTTTGAGGGGGCTTCAGCCCGAAAGCGACCTCCTTTCCCTCTCATTCTCCCCTCTCGTAGGTCCGCCTGTGGTCACTATTAATTAACCCTGTAGTAGTTTCTGTTAGAAAATTATTGAGCTTTACCTCTGATTATCTAACTGAATCTATTCACCTGAATAGAATATCAAAAAATAATTTCATTGTATGAAATATATCGACAGCCACAGTGCAAAAGTCTTTAAGGAAAAAAGCTAAAAATTTCCAAAAGACAAAAAAAACTGCGTAATTTTTGTTCTTTGAGAATCATATTTTCGGTTCAATTTTTTTTTTGGAGGCTTAAGTCAAAGATGAAATGCTTTTTGTAACTGTTTTTATCGTATTTCTACCAACCAAGGTTTTAGGTCTATTTTCATCATTTACAGAAATTTATTTCTAGCTTACAGCTTCTTACTTACTTTGAAAAACAGGTAGTAGTTAGGTCAAACAATCAATCAAATTTATTATAGTGATACCCATAACTTAATTCATAATGATCAAATTATGACAGCGGCAAAGTCAGTTTCCAAAATATAGAGAAATGATACTTGATGGTATATTAATTATATTAATCTATTATTAATTATATTATCTAAGTATATTAATAGCTTCTGGTATTAATATACTTAATATAATTTTTTTTTGGGGAGGCATCAGCCCGAAAGCCCCTCCACCCCTCCTCCCCGTAGATCAGCCTGTGTCCCCTGTAACTTTACTTGTAACACTTCACTTATTTCTGATGTTTATTAGGATAGATTTATTAATATAAGTGTCAATTGTATGTATATTTCATGAAAGCAATGTTTATATATATATATATATATATATATATATATATATATATATATATATATATATATAAGTGATTTTACATTAGTTATAGGTGATTATTTTTTTATTAAAGTTTAAATTAGAAAACTGAAAGAAATATAAATTTCAGATTGTCAACAATCTGCAAGGTATAACTGGAGGAGTACTTCTTTTCTTATTCAGCTTCGGTATTTTTATTCCATGGGGAAACACAAAGGTAAATTTTCTAATTATTTAGACAAAGTTAATTTACTACTTTTAATCTAATAGTTAACATCTACAACTAGAGAAGGATTTATGAACAGTTGTAGGAAAATGATTAATATAGTAGAACGTATTATTTTTTTTACCAAATTAATTTAATTTCTTCTTTGAGCAATGGCTTCTAATGAAGAGTAATGAAATAAAAATGTGGAAGTATTTCAAATACTTTACAAGAATATTTCAAGGTTTATCATTAAAACAAGTTGTAAAATAACTGTAGGACATTTCCAACTTTAAATGCAGTCTTTTCATTTTTGATAATTATGCCGGTGTAATTATATTATATAATATAAATTAATGACTATTAAATGTTTCTAGGGAGTGACAGCAGGTGCGATAGCAGGCTTGCTCACAACATGTTCCTTGACTATCGGGACTTACATATACTCACAAAGTGGTGAAATCAAGTTTGGAAAAAAAGTCACCTCTATCCAAAACTGCCCAGCTAATTCTTCTATACCGCTGGGATTAAAGTAAGTTTTTGATTTATTATAATATATTCTTAACAATTTAAGTCAAAATTTTAACATAATTTAAATCAAATGCAATATTAATTTGAGTAAATGTATTGCTACAAAAAACAACAACACTGTTGTTAGGCCACTACCAGATCCAGGATTTAATTTTGGGGGAAAGCTTCAGCACGAAAGGTTTTTTTTTTTCATAAAAATGACGATAATTACTTTGGAAAAAAAGAAAGAAACTAACTATCTATATGAAATGGTGTTTAAGTGATTTCTTAAGTCCTTTTAAATGTAATTACACGAACAATAATACTTAAGAGATAATTTTTTAATATCTTTTCCCATAAAACATGGTTATATTTTACAAGTTTTGTGGGGGGGAGGAGAGGCTTCAGCCCGAAAGCCCTCTCCTTCTCTCTCCCCCGTAGATCCACCCGTGGCTTAGGTTACATATAAATATTCTATATCGTAACGAGAAAACTTTTTGAAAAATATTATCGTTCGCACCATATCTAGTTTCTAAATCAATCCTTAAAATCATCATTTTTTTTTTCTATCCACTTTATATCTTTTATTCGTAAATTTCTCACAATTTTTCATTTTCACCAGCTGTCTATTGGATTTATAACATTGTAGATGTTATAGAACAGGAATATTCGGTAGTTCTGTTTCCATTATTTTTTCTCTCACTTACTACATAGTATGTATATATGTTATATATAGTAAGGAAGAGTGTTGCGATAGTGAAAATTTACGAATCTGAGATTTCAATGGAAATACACGTTTTGAGATCCTCAGATTCGAAATGACCAAGTCCCACAAAATTGTCTCTGTGTATGATATTACGTATTTAAGATAGAATTATACCAGAGATGTTACAGCAACTTTTTCGTCAAAATCGGCTGATTTTCATTTTTGAGATTGAAATGATTTTCTCGAAAACGACTCTATTTATTTTGATCAAATTTAGTTTATTAATGAATCATTAACTGTTCTTTAATATCAGCTAGGTCTTATCCACATCAATGTCGCCTTACAGGACTTAAATGCCCTGTCTTACAGGACCTTACAGGACTTAAATATTCAATATGTCTTCCTCTAACATATCTTTAACTTGGTTTATTTAAAAAAAAATTACTGTCTCACGTTGTTAGGAGTTATAAAAATAGGCTAAATATAACTTTTGAAAGAATTTGATAATTGAAAAAAGCAGAAAAAAAGAAAAATGCTTACCCAGCACGAAAATAAATGTCTGGAAATAATAGTCAGAAGGTATGTGTATAATATATCGTTGGAAAGCGAATAATTTCAGAAAAAACAATATCTGAAATATCAAGTCGTAGAGGGTAATGGAGAGTGACAACAAATTGTAATAATAATTTTTGAAAACTAAAATTATTTAACGGAAATCATTATTTTTTCAAGAAAATAAAATGAAATTTCACAACTAAATAAATACACTTAAAATTATTTTACAGTTTGAAAAAAAAATGCAATAAAATATACCGAATGAAGGCAATGACATTGTTGAAAAGACTATTCAATTGTACTTGTGTGAAAGAAGAAGTGAAATATAAAGATAATTCATGGATTTGTAAAACATATGTTCATAATCTTAAATATATTTTCTATAGTTTAATAACTACAATTCCGATATTATATTTAAACAATTAGGAATACATTGTTGATTTATTCCGAAAAAAAATTCTCTTTGTGAAACCACTTTATAAACTTACAATCACGACTTTTGACTTATCGAGGCTGCATTTAAAAACAAGTAACTTTTTTTTGGTAAATTTTTTAAAAGTGTACAAAATATGAATTTAAATACATTTAAAAAGCGATAGAGATTTAATTCTTATATTTTTTATCGTGCAGTAGGACCTTACTTATTTTTAATTAAATACATATATTTTCAAATCTTTTTCTCAGAGCTCAAATACTGGAGCTATGTGTTTCAAATAGACTGATACAGTTATAAGGTTTTTATTGCCTACAATGGATATAATAAATAGGGATTATGTTATTTTGATGGTCTTAATGAGTTTTGGTATTGATCAATGTGACCAAAATTCAAAAATATGCAGTTCAAGATTTAGCTACATTAAAAATGCGCTTCAAAAACTTTTTGTAGTAGCCCACACACACGAATTGCTTTTCTATATTTATTTATTTGGCAGAAAATACATGCTTTTTTTTTCTTCTTTTCTTTTACTTACATAATTTTCTTATTCACAATTCCATTTACCTTAACATGCCACCTTCACCATAAAAGAAAAAAAAAACTAAAAATAAACAGTAAAAATAAAAGCAAAAAAAATAAAATAAAAAATAAAGATAAATCCTGGGTTAGTGTCCCCAGGTCTCACAAGCATTAAGATTTTCGTCAAAAGCTATGCAGATATTTATACAATAACTTGCTGCGTCATAAATATTTTAAATATATATACAGACCCAATATATGCAAAATTCAATAAAAAATAAAATTAACAATCAATTAGTTAAATTTACTTGATTAACAAAAAAATATAATAAAATAAAAATAAATGGACACGCATACATACACAGAGTCACAGGCACATACCCACTCATACACACACTTATATGCATACCTACTTACACCCCATACACATCCACAATATTCATAAAATAATACATAGTCAATAGCATAAACATTTTTTTTTTCGGTAATATCTTATTTAAGCACAAGTGGAATTCAATATTGAACGTTTTATATTAAATCGGAATAAAATCTAAATTATTACAGTATAAAATTTTCTAAAAAAAAAAAAATTCTTTTCTAAGTAGAGCGGCAAGTGTCAGTTGTGTGTTTCGCACACCAGATTTTTTAAAGTTAATTTAATGATTCATCTAGATTTGATAATTCGACTAGGCAATATTGTACTAGGAAGCGTGTTGAGATGGGTACAACATTACCAACGTACAATTTGCCACTTTTTCAAATCATCGTAAGCCTTTTATCAAAGATGCGTTTTTTTTTTGGGGGGGGGGGTATTTAACTTATGCTAAGCCATAAATGATAGTCAATTTGGGAAGATATTAGTAATAAAATTATAATAAAACCAGGCAATAATCATATCTTAATTATTTTTCCTTCCAGTTTTATTTTGGGAAGGAATCAACTCGATTATCATTCAAAAGTAGTCAACGATTTTTAATTGTGAAGAGTAGACATAATTGTTTTATCTTTAAGCATCCAAAAGTCCTTTTAGAATCGTTCCTTTGTTTACAATATATACTATTTGCAACCTATAAATGTATATTTTTATCAAACAATTCTGTTTCCAGTTCCACATCTTTCGGTTACCCTGGAGTGGGAACTAGGACCTTCTTCTCAGATACTGTGCCTGCGATCTACAGGGTGTCCTTCTTGTACAACAGCCTCATCGGAATGGTGGTGTCTTTCACTGTAGCATGTGCCGTGAGCTTTGCCACCGGCTGCCAGGATGTCTCGGAGCTGGAACCAGAACTTGTCATACCCCAGCTGAGGTCCTTCATCCTCAAGAAGAAGGCCCCGATTGAGCTGCGGCAGCGGTATTCCCCCGTTCCAACATCTGAAAAAGCTGCAAGCGATCTCCAAAAAGATACACAAAACATCCCTCAATGCTAGCTGCCGTGTAATGATAGTTTTTGTTGACGGTTTTTAAATAAATTAATAAGTAAAGAAATATTACACCTTGAATATTTTTTTTTTTTTTGAATTCTAGTTTATTTATTTGTATCCATATATCTGTAAAAAATGAAACGAAATGGTTATGTATAATCAGTATACATAACAAGATATTTTCTTAAATATCACCCATAATTGATTAACAAAAAGTATATCAAACCATATTTTTATTGAGATATATGAAAATATGATTTTATTTATTATGTCGATAAATGATTACAAATAATTTTGGAGCTGCTAGATGAAAAGCAAAGATTGATAGTTTGGTCCGTTTGAGGGTTTCTGAAAAGCGGTGGGGGGAAAAAAGTATACTTTGTCCAATGTCCAAGTGACAGAATGTTATATTGGATTGGCAATTAAGTCCTTTCGGTTTTTTCCAGAGTGAAATAAAACTCAATGTATTATAGACATAAAATTTATTTTAATCTACAATAAATTGACCATTATTTAATATGACTTTTTTCCATCCTTTCACTAACTACATTAAGCCTTGTTCATAGAATATTCAGAAAATGCCAATATTATTAAACTTTCCGCGAGCAAAATAATATCTTAATTTTTTTTAATACCTTTACATGAAACAGGATTCAGAACTTTAACATAAAATTCAGTATCAAATTACTTTATCTTACCTTATTTTTTAAATGCTTTTGTTGACTACGACGGTTAATTCTCGTCTATGAACTGTTCTTCATTTTAATTATAGTTCTTCATTCTTATAATTGATAATTTTTTGGCTGCACGTGCTCCCCATTTTTTATCTTTTAACGTTTATTGTTAATCTGGTTTTAATTGTTATTATCATGTTTATCTCCGCGTAACAGGTATTGAGACAAATATTAATTCCAAAGGGCCTCAAGTCAACATTGACAACTATTATTTATTAATTATTGAACTAGACATCTCAATAAATGTTTTCAAACAATTTGCTAAGAATGGATGGAATTGAAAATTTTGCAATAGAGGAGATGAAAAGAATTACCATGGAACTTCCAAAAGTACCTTAAATGTGAAATGGTTTCCGATGAGCAAAATAAATGTGTTTTTTTGCTCAATCGATGCTTATGTTTGTCCTGCAAAAAGTGGAACATTATTTTAGTGAACATTAACAAAGATTTTATAACAATTCAGTCAAAACTGAAGTTATCGGTTAGCAAAATTCATCCTCAATTCTACATATTTTTCAAAACTTTAATTAAATTCAACAACCTACAATTCAAAAAGAAAATCTGGCCCTGGATAGCTTAGAACTGATTGGGTATTAGTAGTTTTAATCCAGAGAAGAACAAAAAAAGTGTCATGTCTATTTGGTACCACTGTGTGCAGTCCGTTATGGAGACACTTTTTAATCAAAATCTAAATACTAAACTAAAGAACGTGAAGGACACGCGGCGCACGTTCATAATCTCTAAGTCTAAGAAATCGTACCCGAATGATTTCACTGATCGGTTTTTAGGAAAATGAATCTAATTAAATTGTTTTTTTTCTAATAAACACATTTAAAGCTTTAATTAATTAGACTAAAGCTTTTTTTAATTACATAGGAAAGTCTTGTAAGTGGACACATTCGATTTTTCATCAAAATCATTGGTAACAATATATAAATTGTCTTTACTCTACAACTCTTCCATTCCATTTACTCGGAGGAACGGAGGAGAGTTATCATTATCTTCTTAATTCTTAGTTTTATGGATTTAGTTGGACTATACTATGTTTATGTCCATAAAACATCTAATTTTACTTATTTTTTTAGCGTTTTTCTAAGATTTCTAAGGTAATATATTTAATAAATAGCAATAAACTGATAGGTAACTGCAAGACTATTGTGAGACTCTTGTGAGACTCTTGTGCAAGACCAAGACCGAGTGCGCAAGACCAACAGAAAGACCACCTCGGTCTCGTCTTGGTGTTGCGTTTGGGCAACATTAATGGTACCGCGAGTATGTAAACATCTGACCCGCACTTTTATAGTTCCTGACACCGCAAAATCTACTTTAGACCCTTGAATATCAAATTATTAACATCCGTCTAAAAGTTCGTGAAAACCTAAAACGAAACTTCTCAGACATGGGGCGTTTTTTTATTAAGCTAATTAATTTAATGATTTAATAAAGAGTCCATGACTACTCACTTGCTTTCTACTTGACTAATAAGATAATTAGAACACGAAATAGAGAAAAGGGGTAGTCCTCAAAAATATTGGGCTGTTTGGCTTGGATAAACTCGTTATTTTGACATTCATATTATGCCTACCAGATTTGATCTAGTAGCCAAAGAAATATTATTTTAAGTTGAATGAAAGAATTTCGTATTATAAAATTGCATAAAAATATTAATAAGAATTAAAATTGCAGAAAAATACTAACACGTAGAAATTCTTTCCAAATAAAGAAGTCAGTACCTAAAAAATACTGAATGATAGGTTTTTACAATGAGCGATGTGAATGAAATCAAACGATATTTGCCATGATGAAGAGGTTTAAGACCTCTAAAACGAATTTTAGGTTTTCTGTCCTTAAGACTTAATGCTGCGATGGGCGGGCTCTCAATGATGCAAGAAGTCACGAAGTTGAGAACTGGATGCCATCTGCATAGATTGAAGACCTAGAGAAAGTATGGACAAGTCGTCAGGTTGCTGTGTTTGAAATATTTAATTGAAAATAATTAATCCAATGTAAAATTGTTATTAATATTATTGAATTACATATATCAAACGAAACATAAGTAGAAGGAAGAAAATTCGCAAAATATAAATTAAACTTGAAAGACAATCCTGTTTCATCTCAGAGATAAATCTAATGAATCATCAAATTAAACATGATAAAATGTGGAAATTATATCCATATAGCTGTCGCGGGATAACTGGTTTTAGATAAGAAAAACACTGAGAATCACAAATGTTGCTTAGTATCTCTGACAAAAACTCATGGAATAAAAAAAGTAGGTATGTGTTCATTTAAACAATTAAAAATTAAATTATTAAAGATAATCAGACGTATCCCTTAACAAAATCAAGACAAATACTGACTTTTTAGACGATAAGTTAAAATGTTTGGCAGGAAGATAAACATTTCAAGACATTCAATAGTTTTAGTTTTAGTTTCAACCTTTTCTGTATTAAATGTTTTATTTGTTTATTGTATTTTGAAAAAGAATACTTTAGGATAGGATAGATATAAGTATGAAGAATATAATCTCGGTCTTATGGTTCTCGGAAGTCTAGTGAATGCAATAATAAGCGAAGAAAATGCTTCCATGCCATCTACTCGTACACTGATTATTGGTAGTGCAAATTGTGTCCTGATATCGTGGAGAAATGAATATTAACTAAACAAGCGGGAATCGATCCTGAGTCCTCGCGGTTGATATTTTGTTCTGGATCAGACAGCATTCTGGACGAGTTAACTTTTTAGTTTAGTAAGTGCAAATAACGACCTTTGTCAGACGATAACAGTGGAGTCCCAATTATTCCAATTGGAACGGACTTAGTTTCACTCCGATTATCGAAATAAATTAAGAAATTTTTCACATTTTCTGAGTTGATTTTTTACTTTCAATAATTGTTCGAAATTGTTAAACAAACATGTTATTGCTTTTAGAGTAGGTAAAACGTTTTCGGCCAATAACATGCAGATGAAAGGCATTAAACATTTTGTTTTCAACTTATCCTAATAGTCCTTCATAAACATTCAGTGAACTTGCAATCTATTGTTAACGTGGCCAGATATTTTGTGCCTTGAATCGGAACATCTCTGTGTATATTTTTTTTGGTTTTTTTGTTTTTTTTTTAGAGGTAGAGAGAGGGAGGTGTACAACATGAACAGTGAGCAATCTTTGTATGAAGTATATTAAAAAAAACACTGAATATTTTATCTTCTTTTGATGATATACATGTATAATTGTAATCTTACCCACTATCATCTGGAAATCTGCAAATATGGTGTTGAATGAAACTGGCTCTCATTCTTCCATTGTTTTTTATCTATATATATATATATATATATATATATATATATATAAAAATAATTGTACGTCTGTCTGTCTGTTTGTCTGTTTGTCCTTTATGCATTACTAAACTATTCACCCGATCGCTTTTGTTGAAATGAAGCTATGGGAAGTTGTTGCGTACAGTCCTGCGATGGTTTCTGGTATAGTACTTCTGTCTTACGATAATTTGATTGATAATACCCATATGTTTTAAACATTTATTACTTTCTCTTCAGAAAAGGACATTTCTCTTTTCTTCTTTTTTTTTTGTTAATGATTAATTGAAAATTTTATAATTACTAACTACAGTAATTGAAATTATGGTGCGGTTTTAATAAATATGTATAGTTCCACCTTATATTTTATAATAGTAGATATATTAAACCACGCCCGTATTTAAATGCAACGTTAAGCCGAAATTTCAAGGCAATGGGTAATGAACATTCCGAGATTTAAGAGTTTGAACAAACAAACATTTACATTTTTATTACAAACATAAAGTTGAACATTAAACAATACATTAACTATAGTAATAAAATTAAACATGAAAATATATGAGTGGCTTTATATCAAAGACGGTTCTCTTTCATTTCCAAAAAACGGAGGTAAGTCAATTTTAGTTTTACAAGTTCAACTAAGCTTACAAGTTCAGCTAACCAAGGTTATGAAGAGATTTTTGGGTGTTAGAGGGATGTCAAAGTAATACGAGGGGCATAGATAGATACGGACCAGCTGATACTGATAGCGGGTAATAGAATCCTAAGAACCCGTAAACCTCAGCCGAAATTATTCCAAGAAATAAAAGTACACGCTTTGTTTGATTCAGATACGAAGATTTCGTTAACTTAAAGGAGAACCTTGGAAGTTTTAATTTAGAAGGAGATGTGGGGAAACGTTCTCAAAACATAGTAGGACGACAATATAAATGAATAGTAAGCTGAAAGACGAAAGCGTCGAAGTCCAACATATGATAACTTCGCAGAATAAAGAAGAGCAAGGAATGAAACAAAAGCAGCAGCCAAAAGGATTTTCTTGGGAGGCGCTACAGACCATGCAGATCTTTGACCGCAAGATATGGTCTCCTAGACCACACCTCGAAACTTAAAAAAACATCCATACCTATATGCAAAATATACAATCAGGCAGTGAACCCCAAGCCAGACTTGTCCCTCCAACTATATAGGGAAAAGCAGGGCTCAAAGAGATCTCTGCGCTACTCTCTCAACCGCGTCATCCGTGCTAAAGGCAGTGGAGATTGAGCGAGAGCGCTTTAGCCATCCATATATGAGTACAATCATGTCTTGAGTGGAGAAGATCCATTGCCAGAACTCCAAGATATATACTATAAAAGGTTTCTGGGCCACTGCCGATATATATATATATATATATATATCGATTTAAACATTTTAAACAAATCAATTTATTAGAGTGATTTTTTTTTTTTAAGGAATATTATTTGGGAAATATATTAATATTGATAATCATCATATATTTGATTATATTGAAATTTATCCTTCAAATGTTCGAATTTTACTTTATGTTTGCGTCCTCACTACCGAAGGTAGGGGAGCATTGTATTTAATACATGATCATTGAAGTATTTTTTCTATTTTTATATTATATTGCGTTAATATTTTAAACAAAATCATATTTTGAAATTATTGAAGTTATAACTTACGTCAATAGGCAAAACTGAATAAAATTTAAACTATTTTTCTCTAATGATTTTATCTTTTGGTTTCAGTGAGAGAATGATTTATTACGGATTGTGTACACGGGCTAGTACAAACTTTTACTCTATTTAAATGTCGGAAACCGGCCAGCAATAGTACTAATAACAGTGTAACAGTTTGTGCAGTAATAACATACCCGTTCAACGTCAAACGTAAGTAAGAAATTAAATTCAATTAATTATATTTTGCTTCCTTACTACTGAAGGTAGAGAAGCAGTTTATCGTGCGAAAGGTTAAAAAAAAAATGTATGCTCAGAATCGAAAATTTCCACTCGCGTTCTGCGTTTCAAACATCAAAGACTAAATTTGGTTCGGTGTTTGTCTGTCTGTAATAAAGTCGATGTAACGGACATATCACCAACTACCGTTCATCCAATTTTCATGAAATTTTCAGAAATTGTGCGGGTTGGTGTTTAGATGGTCCCATATCAATTTTATTAAATTCTAATCATCACTTCCGCTTACGCATTATTGTAGAAATATCAATATTGCAGAAATGGTTCGTTCGATTTGGTTCAAAATTGGATAATAAGTAGGTATTTGTGAAAAAATAATGTAGGGTAAATTTTATTGAATTCTGTCCGTTGCTTTCTCTTATATACGTGCAAACGTGTTTTCCTTGACATGTCTATATCTCTAAAACCGCAAGTTCGATTTGGCTCAAATTTAGAGAGAATTTAGTGTAAAAGTAAAATGAAATAGGCATAAATTTTTTCAACTCTACCTACTACTCCAAAAAAAAAAAAATACTTCCGCTTTCAGAACAGGAAAAGTGTTATATGATATGCCTATAGTTTGACTACGATTTGAGCGCATTCGATTTTACCCAAACTTAGAAGAAATTAGGAAGACAGTACAGAAATAAATTAGTATCAATTTAATTGAATTCCATTTGTTAATATGAATAATTGCTAACAATATAATGGCTGCGAAATGTTGAAGTCACTGATCATATGGAGTGGGAGTTAGGTTATTACAATACTGTTATGGTGTTATAAATTTAGATTTTAATAAAAAAATTAATTAATACTGTATTGTTTAATCGATTCCAAACGTTACTGGCATGCCACTTACTGCCGTTACTTAGATTTCGTGTAATTTTCAGTAGATTTAAAGTAATTTATACTCTGAGTTTAAAAAAAAAAAAACGTCTTATTTGTGATTGTGTTTATTTCCATTGAAGTTCAACCAGTACGTCTTGGTCTCGATTTTCCCCTTAAATAAGGAAGTGAAGAGAACTAGAACGATATTTTTATATATTCTAGCTTAAAGCGTTGTGTTCTGAATGAATAAAAATATTGATCTCGCTTACTCCTAACAAGTTGAATTTTTCCTATTTGTTCTAGTTCCATCCATTTTACGAGTGAAAACATACCTATTAAGTATATATCACTACTATTAGTGCAAGAAGTCGTATGTAAAAGTTTTCAACTTTTATTCTATTTGTGCTAAAGGTGATATTTTGTAGTCTGCAACTAAAATAAGTATTCTGCTACTATGGAAAATAGCAGATGACAATAAAATATGAAATTATACTAATAAAGCATAAAGAAACAATGAGTTTTTATGCACTCTTGCAAAACAATCAATTTTTACATACGACCTTTTGCACTAACAGTAGTGAAATGCATGTTCAGCATGCATTTTTTTTTTTAATTGAGGATAATCAAATATGGAATCTTCAAATACGGCACTCCTTTGAATTTTTATATTAGCTGATAAAAGAAATTCGTGAATATCAAACCCGCGAATGTTGAAGGGTAACTGTATTTCCGAATCGGCTTCTCCAAGAGATTTTATTCTCATAAGAAAAATTTCATATCTTGTAATATTTTATTATTTTTGCCATTGAAAACGGTTAGGAAGCTATACTGACCTTACTTGGAAGACGTTTTTTCATTATTATTGATTAATCATACTGCTTAATATTCAATACGTTGATTTGTTATTTTTTAGTTGTATGGAAAGAATTATATTGAAGCAATGATTATATCGTCAATTAACACTTCTTCCTTAAATAATGAATAAATGGATAAAAAAAATTCCTGCGTGGAGCCGTCATTTTTTTTTTTTTTTTTAATCCTCGAGTGAATTACGAGTACTTAACATCCTTTCATAATAAAAAGTAATTATTAAGTTCACAAATTTAAAATTTAAGAAAACAACCAAGATTCAAAAACATTGATTTTAGGTCAAAATAATATTCAATTTGCGATTAGGTTCTATACGTTTTTTTAGTAGGTTTCCTCAAACGGCTGCCTTCGGATCACGTGAGGCGTCCAGTTTTAACGCAATATCTGGAGGTGCATTCAGACATACCACGAACTATGGGAAACAAAATTATCTAAATTATCAAATAGTGACATTAATAATAAGCCCATCTTTGTATTTCTTTATTTTGTTACCGACAGCAAATATAAAACATCGAAAACAAGAAAGAAAACACTAGTATAGGGAAATAAAAACATTTAAATATCTGTGTTTCCTTTAGCTTGTGAAATGTCTGAACGCAGCTTGCACGACTTTTCAATTTTAATTCTTTGGAGGATTAGGTTATTAGAATAAAAGTCCAAAAAGTTCAGAATTTTTCAGATGGATATTTAGCAAGATGATTAGTTTTAAAGATTGGTGGGTACGCAGCTACTCCATGGCGTTGGATATCTTGACATTTTTATAATATTTGCAGCTTCAATTCTTTTACTCTAGAAATATCTATTCATTTTTTCCCTCATCTTTCATCTCTTGATAAAAGTAAACAGTTTGAAATGTAATATGTTAGATTGAATAAAATGCACGTTAATTAATTAAATGTGAGAATGCTTTGACAATATCGTATTTGACAGCTGTATGCTTCACCCTGTATTATTTCAATTTTTTGGCTAAATATGAACATTTTTTTGTTTTTTAAAAAGTAGAATCTCAATCTGAAATATGTTTTACGTATGTTTTATCACTGAAATTCTATTGCAGCTCAAATATATATTTTTTTTTTCCCCAATACCCAATTGCTCGATAGGCTGACAGAGCTTTAACTCCAAAAAAGATCAAGGACATTTTTAGCTGACTTCCAATCTGAATGAAGTATATACAAAGTATTGATCGCCCTAAAAGCTTATTGTATATTTTTCATTCACAAATACATTAAGAAAAATATCATTTGTCATGCTCTCTTCAGAAGTCTAAAATGTAAAGAAATTTTCAATTATTTATTATTTAAAAAAAAATATAGGAAATAGCGGTGGTATTACTATTTACTAAAAATAACGAAAAACTTCTTTAAAATAGTTTATTCCAACTCGCTGCACTCTACTAAAACTTCTTAAGGTTATAACAAATTAAATACAATTTTAATAATACTTACGGCAATAAATTTGTTTGTTCAAATGCATAGCATCTTTTGTTGACACTAACTAATAATTTTAGCAAGTGGACCAGATCAAGTGTTTTTCCCTAGTCAATTTTTTTAAAATTTTATTTAACACGTATTAATATCTAAGAGAAAGCGAATAAGTGAAGTTGAATGAAGGAAAAACTGTATGTACTGGGACCCTTATTATTTAGAAAATTGCAGATCTAAACAGAAAGGTTTTAATTTGCAATTTGTATTATTACAATATACGATTGCCAAACTTGCCTACGCCATTATTATTTCGAAATCCGTGGAGGTAACAACGGTCCACAACTGATAAAATGGAACCTAATAAATTACTATACGTTCCTCGCTGACAGATTATTCAGTTTGGGCTACTCACTAAAAAAATTACCGTACTGTTTGTTTTTTTTCCAAGTGTCTTTATCTCTGACGCTTTGTTTTTCCTTGATAATGACATTAAACAAAAATATAATTCAGAATACATAACAAACATTTGTTCGGTTCGTTTTTACACGTCCGGTAAATTTTTGCACCGCTATGCAAAACATCTGGTGCGCGCAACACAATACTTTCACTTACTGCTCTGCTTCAAAAAGCAATTTTTTTCTTGAAAAATTGGGCTATTACAAGAAGTTTTTGAAGCGCATTTTAAACGGAGCTAAACCTTGAACAGTATATTTTGAATTTTGGTCATATTCATCAATAAAAAAACTCATTAAGACCATCAAAATAACATAATCCCTATTTATTATATCCATTGTAGACAATAAAAACCTTACAACTGTATCAGTCTATTTGAATCACATAGCTCCAGTCTTTGAGCTCTGAGAAAAAGATTTGAAAATACATGTATTTAATTAAAAATAAGTAAGGTCCTACTGCACGATAAAAAATATAGGAATTAAATCTCTATCGCTTTTTAAAAGTATTTAAATTCTTATTTTTATACCCTTGGAAAATTTACCAAAAAAAGTTACTTGTTTTTAAATATAGCATCAATTAGTCGAAAGTCGTAACTCTGATTGCAAGTGTATAATGAGATTTCACAAAGGTTTTTTTTTTTTAATAAATCGAAGATGTCTACCTAATTGTTTAAATATAATATTGGATCCAGAGTTATTAAATTACAGTAAATGTATTTAAGGTAATAAACGTATCTTATACCCATCCATGAAATATCTTTATATTCCACTTCTTATTTCACAATAAGTACAATCAAATAGTTCTTTTAACAATAATACATACTTCCTTTTTTCTCTTTTGACCTATTAACAAAATCTTTTATACTTTATATCTAGCTATTTTATATTTTTAATGGTCATAAGGGACAATTAATTTTTCAAATAAAAGGACTTATAAGGTACGTCAGAGGAAGACATTTTGAACATTAGGCATTAAAGCCCTGTAAGGTGACATCAATGTGGACAATACCAACCTAATCTTAAAGACCACTTAATAATACACTGAAATACCGAGTTTAATCAAAATCGTTAGAGCCGTTTTTGAGAAAAATGTATTTTCGTTTATATGAAGCACCACTTCCGGTAAGCTTATTTCCGGGAAAAAGTTGCTGTAACATCTCGCGCATATACCTATCTTGAATTCGTAATATCATTTTATTGTGACTTTTGGTTTTTGAGCTAGATTGTTCAAATACACACAGAATGGTCTGGTTCACATACAGACCATTTTCCGGAACTTGATTTTTTCGACTCAGTGGACCTCAAATCGGGTATTTCGGTCGAAATCTGAGATTCGAATATTTTGACGATCACAATTTTTTCCCTTACTATATATAAATATATAAGTAAGCGAATGTAAAAATGTTGGATGACGAATTTTTCTCATTTGGCTATTTGTAATTGTTTGCGAAATTAATTTTCTTAATGCGGAAAAATATTGAATAAGTTATTCTTCATGAATGAAACTAAATTTTCATTGGAAGGTAATGGAATAAAAAAAATAAAAATAGAAGCCGACAATAAAGAAATATTGGAGGTGGCGCTAAAATTAATCGGACGTCCATATGTTGCATCCACGATTGTTCCCGAACTGCATAGATTACTGAGTCTGCCACTCCTATTTTATAAAGATGTCTCTTAGATTAGGGGTCTCCAAACATGAAATTCGGCCCGTAAAAGATTCATGGATAAAATTTTAAGACATATATGAAAATCTTACGATTTTTGGAAGTAGTAGATAGAATTTGATAAAATTCATACATACTTGATTATCTGTTTACCAATTCCTAACTTCCCTCCTAATTTTAACTAAATCGAACCAGCGGTTTTAGAGATATCGACGTATCAAGAGGAACAGGTTTGCACATATGTAAGAAAAAGTAGAGGATTGAATTCAATAAAATTGTTACATATCAATAACCTTTTTTCCATCTTTGAGCCAACTCAAACAAGCGATTTCTGAAATATTGGCATATCTGAATAAATAAGCATGTGTAAGCGGAAGTGGATAGAATCTAATAAAATTGATGACCAACCCGCACAATCCCTGAAAATTCCATAAAAATCGGATAAACAGTAGTAGGTGATATGCTCGTTACATCGATTTGACTACAGACATATATCGAACCAAATTTGATCCTGTAGTAAAACATGAAAAGTAAAACGCGAGTGAAAATGTTAGATTCTGAGCACAATTTTTTTTTGACCTCTCACATGAATACAATGCTTCCCTAACTTGGGTAGTGAGGAAGCAAAAGTTATAATTGACTTATAGTCGGGCCAACTAGTATTATATCTGAATTCTATATAATTATCTATACGGTTTAAGGCCCTGCGCTCAATGTCCTGGCGAAATAATATCCCTTTGTATCGCTGCAGATTATCGAGCTATGTGTGACTTCTATAATGCAACATATAGTAATACTGTGTGATTCCTGTGTCAGAGCTTACACCTTGGCTTGGGATTAGTGGCCACCTTTTTTTATATTTGCTTATATATTGTCTAGCTACTTAGTACCTCCATCTTTATTTAGAGCTCATTAGCTTACACAATTTTAATTATTTTTCTGTAGAAATCTAACTTCCTAAGCCACCCTTACAATTATTCCTTACATTAAGATGACCAGCATTATGAAAAAAATATTATAATTTTTTATTTTATTGAATTGTATAACATCCGGTCTAGGGTTGTTGCGATATGAAGGCAAGTTCGGACATTCCTTATCTACATCGATATCGGTTTTTGGTATAGATATTAAAGTCATTGAGTGACTTTTCATAACCTTAAATGATTAAGAACGTTGATGGCTTTTTTCTTTGAGAGATCAAACAATTGTATGCTTGTTGTAACTAACTTTATTTTTTATTATTATTTTTTTTATTTAGAAATATAAAACTCTGTCACGTGGACAATAATTACGGTGATATATGATATAACACATTCATACCATATATACATAAAATATGAAATTAACAAAAGTTAAATAATAATCAAAAACTATGTACAATAAACAATAAAATAACCTAAAGATAAGTAAATTAAAAACATAAAAACACAGTCATACCTGTTTACAATATATACAATCAGACAGGGAACCCCAAGCAAGGTTTCTCCCTCCAACTATAGAAGGAAAACAGGACGAGATCCATACCCTACTCTCTCAACCGCGTCACTGCTGCTAAAGCCAGTGGAGTTTGAGCGAGAGCGCTTCAGCTGAACATCATGTGTATCACCGTGGAGAATCTGGCCATTGCCAGAACTCCAACATATATACTACAATATATCGGGGCCGCTGCCGCTTCAACCTTCGTGAGGGATTGTAGAGATGAGTGGAACTAGATAGAGATTGTGCTAGGGGATTCGGATGATTTCGGTCCTGATGGAATTTGGAAAAATTTTCAGGGATAAGGTCGAGAACAAATGGAATATTAAGGTCATGGTGTAGGGTTTTGTTGGTGTTGTGACTAATAGGCCGTATAAAAAAAAATTATATTACCGCCGATAGGAGTAACATATAGCCAAGTCATATTACACTCTGTAAGTAGGAGTCTATATTGAAATTTTTGTGAGTTATTTAAATGACTTTTGAGGGGCTGGTCTCCCTTTCCGGGGGGAGGAGGTGCAGAAAGTGTCGTGCCCTCCTCTCAGTGCCAGCGCATATGGAAGAAATGTTTCTTCGTCGTATATATCGTATAGGGTAAAATCAGGTAAGATTTAACTCATTGAGTAAACATTTGAATGGACTAAAATATGTTGAATGTTAAATTTTCATATTAATTTACCTCTTATCTTCGAAAGAATAATTTTAATCTGTAGGTACACTTTGTAAGTAGAGTGCGTCTGAAATAAAAAACTCAAATATTTTTATATAATTTTTATTTATAGATGGAAACCACTGAAGCCCCTTCAAAACTAATGTCCACCCTTAAATTATTTAACTGGGCGGAATACGTGGTATTTTTTGGAATGCTTCTAGCATCAGCACTTATAGGGGTTTACTACGGATGTAGGCCAAAGAAAGATGTCACCGTTGACGATTATATGCTCGGAGGAAGGAAGATGTCAATATTGCCAGTGGCTGTATCACTCATAGCCAGGTAAGTCATCCTATCATCATGAATTCGGACGTATTAATTAATTTTCAATCTGCAATCTTAACTAAAAATAAGGTTCACCTAGCAGCATTTTAACGACATGTTTTTTAGTAACTATATAATCCATTGATTTTTTTCAGCTTTATATCAGGAATTAGCCTCCTTGGTATTCCGGCAGAAACGTTTTATTACGGAACTCAGCTCTTCGGCATTTCAATGGCGGTAATAATCGGCTACGTTTTGCTGAACCTATTTTACCTCCCTGTAGTGTATCATCTCCAGTATAACTCTCTTTTTGAAGTAAGTTAAATTGGACATTTATATATTTTTAAAATGTGACAACTTTTAAAATCCGTCTTCTTCTGCCAGTATTTGGAGAAAAGATTCAACCGCGGCGTGAGACTTCTCGCTTCATTCATATTTTCTTTCTCTTTGGTAAGATAAAGAACATTGTTATACATTTTAAAATACATATTCTTCATTCTTAAAATATCTTTATCTTTAATTGCAGATACTGTACATTCCTGTAGTGATCTATGTGCCATCATTGGCATTCAACCAAGGTACTAAACTTTTATTATAATTCAATTGCTAGTAGTAAACATGAAATCGTCGAGATTAAATTTATATGACGTGAAGCAATTGAAACTTCTTTTCTGTGGTAAGGTGCACACATCCTCTTGAAAACAAGAAGTTTGAATATATATATATTTGTGTATAAGTAGTAGTTGGTAGAATTGCCAATCATCACTCACAAGGCTAACAAACAAAATTAAAATTGGTATGAGAATCGATTTATGTCCGAACTTTTGCTGAGTTTGTTGAAGAGAGGTTTGTGGGCAGCCATTGTGGATAAAAAAAGGAATCCGCTAATCCATATTATCATAGGCGCAGATTACTGAGAGAAGAGGGGTGCGATCGCCCCTCCCTCCTCCCTCTACTCCCCAATAAAAATGTTGATGGGGCGAGAATATCGTTTCGCCCCCTCAATAATTTGAGGCAATTAAAAATTAAAATCAATAATAAATAAACTAAATGACTGAATAAAATGTGTATACTAAAATCGATTAAGAAAAGTCGACTAGTTAGCTAAGATAGGGCCTAAGTAAATATAAATGAGTGACACAAAATTAACTCAACTTTTAAATTAAATACAAAACACAGTTCTCTCTTCATTTGCTTTGTCAATTTAACAGCTGAGAGTTTAGGGTTAGTAAAAATGGAACGTGTTACGAGCAAATAACTTATTTTCATTGTTGAACAATATTTTAGAAATAATGAAAGTCTTGTGGCCATTTCTCTTGCTTTGATATAGCCACTTTTTGTAATCAATTGTTTGTAATCAATTGGTCCTTTCCTTGAATTTCTTAATCATTCTCTTCACAATTGATGAAGTGAAATCTACATTCCGACCATATTTTATACGATTTTTTCTAACCGTTGCTGGAAGACTTTGATTATTTTAAAAATATTTTTCAACAATGAAAACACGTTGTTCGCTCGTATAACGCTCCATTTTTACTAAACATAAACTGTAGTCAAAAATAATCAGCTATTAAATTAACAAAGCAGAAAAAGAAAGAACTTAGTTTTGTATTTAATTTAATTGGACTGACATCCGACAGAAGAATGACATGGGGCCCACATATCAACAAAAACTTTAAACCTCAGACTACCACTGTTATATTCACTTCTCTCAAGACGCTTAAAATTAAACTTAAAACTAAAACTAAACACTTACAATTACCTACTTAAGCTCGTATGGACCTACACTTCACAAATTTACGGAACAGCCAAAACGACCCACATACGAAAACTACATACTTTTCAATCCAAAACATTCAGGACCACAAGTAAAGCTCTAAGGTACGTCACAATCATTACATTACATAAAGACCTTCAAATGCCAACAGTTAGCGATCACATACGGACAAACTACAAGCGATTTCACAATAACATGCATGGACATACTAACGCACTTATACAAAGTATGGATGCATTTACCATGCCCGAAAACACACTTATGAGGCTTAAAAGGAGCTGGATGAGGGATTTCCTCTCTTAAAAAGATGCTAAAATCAAGACAGGAAGAGATGCCGCTGGGCATTCCTCTCCATCACGCCGATCAAGCCACTACCTGTAAACTTACCGACAGCAGACCCGCTAATTGTAATTGCTTATGACAAGTGTGGGTAAAGAAACAAAGTTAAAAAAAAAAAATTGAGTTAAATTTGTGTCACGCATTTATTTAGACCCTATCTTAGCTAACTAGTCGACTTTTCTTAATCGATTTTAGTATACACATTTTATTAAGTAATTTAGTTATATATATATTCAAATAAGTTTAATTTTGACATTGTATAACTATTTCCGAGTTTAATTCATAAAAATAGAAGAAGTAGGATAAAAAGGTTGTAACCCACATAAGGCTCTTCTTTAACACCTACTCAAGTCACACAATATTTCAAACCAGTAACCATGTGTGCCCATATACCCCAAGAAATTTGATTACTCTCTATTATTAAAAACAGTGCAAGTAAAACTAGAATCCGAAAAATTATATTTCAAATACAATTATTCTTTTTATAACTAGTTTCCGTTCCTAAAGTTCTTCCAGATTGGAACCCAACAAAATCATAGTTTCCTAGAAAAATTCATAAATATTAAAATATGACTTCTCCAAAAATTATATATATATATATTAATGAAATTTACTACTGTATTATATGGAAAATACAACAAGTAAATGTGACATTGGTAACATGACATGTACAAAATGAAGAGAAACTACCCATTAGTAGAACTAAAAAATTATTTAAAAACAAAAATGTGTGGCACTAAACTTCATTTTATTTCGCACAAATTAACTAATCCTAGGAGAGACTGCAACATGATTAAGTTTATTTTTTATTGTTAATATTGTCAAATCAATTAATAGTTTGTCAATTAACAGTTACAGGAATGTCAGTCCATCTGTTATCTTCGATAATATGCGCAGTATGCATTTTCTACACTTCTATCGTAAGTAATGCCATTTAGATATAATGAAATGCAATAATCTAAAACGAAGTGAATTTGTAAACAGGGCCGGAACTAGTTTTTTTTCCAGAGGAGATAAGCTTAATTTTGCCTAGAAAAATTAAAGTCAGTTAATCAATTGATTTTTAAACCAATTTCATGACTAAAATTCTATTTTTGGCAATATATTTCAAAATAATTATCTTTAGTTTATAATATCATTTTATTGACTGGAACAAGGTTATAATGATCAAAAAGAAGAAGCAAATATTTTTATTTTACCTACACATAAATCTGTCACCCACGGTAATCGTCTCCTTCGCCCTCCTTATTTCCAGCCCTGTTTTAAAATCTTACACTTATAAGCCATCGATTTACTGCCGATTTGACGTCTAGGGTGGACTTAAAGCTGTTGTCTGGTCGGATGCTCTCCAAAGCCTCTTCACATTTTCCTCCATTATTGCTGTGTTAATATTGGGTACGATAAGTGTTGGAGGATTGTCGAAAATAATCGAAGTCAATGACAGGAGAGAGAGGCTAGAGCTTTTCAAGTAAGTGTAGAGAGATCTTAAGGTGCGCTTAGGTATTTCACAAATTATGGGAAAAACAAGATAGATGATAGCATAGTGAAATAACAATTTTATTTGTTGGTCCCATAGTTTGTGAAATATCTGAACGCACTACGAGTTTGATCAGAACAACTATATATATACAATAAAGTAAGACTAATGTACCCTACTGAGAATTCTTTCAGAGGATTTACTAGTATACATTAGCCCATTAATACAACACATAATAACATTACAAAATATCATTAACCAGTCAACAATATGTATATAAAAATCGAAATTTACTCGCTTATAGCAGTGCACCATCTTGCACAGCTAGTCATAGTACACAACAGAACGAGACCAATCCTTCAGGGAAGGAGAGGCGTTGCTACCATTAAAATATTTAAACTCTACATAAATAAAAATATAAATAAAATGTATTATTATTTTAATATAAATAATTCAAACATATCAATTATCGAACATTAATTTATTTACAATTTATATATATATATATATACATACAAAAGTTGACATACACCATGCGAATTCGCATATTATATGTATGAATATTATGCTTACGTTTTACCAATGCTATACTTTTTTTTTCTATAAAAATCAAATAAAAGAACTTAAAATAAGAAAAATAAAAAGGAAGACAAAAAAAAATAGAACTAAACCTACGATACATGAAAATAAGATATTTTTTTAGCTTATATATGTACGAAATAGAATTAAATGTTTTCAAATATTGAGAACAATTAAATTATTGTATAGAACCTAAATTTGTATGAGAATTTTATGATGAAAAAAACAATCTCCTAAATTAAATTAAGTTGACTCACAATTTTAAAGAGATTATATATAAAATAAACATTGAAGAATAAAATAAATGAACAAGCACAATAATAAGATAAAATAGGTAAATATAAATAAAAAATAACAAATAAACTGGATATACGTACAGAAATATTTAACATAAAATAAAACTGAATTAACTGCATTGCGAATAAATAAATATAAATAAAATATCGGGAAATAATGCTGAAAAATAAATAAATTAAAAAAAAGAACATATTTACAAATGACATTTAACTAACGATAGCGATATATAAAGTTGAAATAATAGAATTTACTTAAACGTTGATCAGGATAATAAAAATCCAAGATATATATATATATGTGTGTATATAACATTTAATAAAAAAGTATAACTTCAGTCAATTCTATGATTCGGGTTCGGATTTAATTTTAGATCTATCTTGGGAATATAGTTTAGCTACAGCTCAATTTTATATTTTGTCTTCTGAAAGTGGCCATGTCCTTGCGTTACGCAGATTTTTATCAGGTCGTATCTTGCATGTTCCAATAAATTGCAGCCGTAGAGTATGTGTTTGAATGTTTATGGAGTTTGTCCTACACAGTTACATGAATCTGTGTTTGTCAGAAGAAATCTTTTAAAGTAATTCTTAGAAGGTCCCTGCTGTGTCAGAAATTGTGTCAGTTTGTAATGGGTACTTTTTATTTTGTTATGTAATATGAGGTATATACAAAGACATATAACATACATATACACACCTATATATATATATATATATATATATAAGTTAAGCGTCGGCGGACTCTAACAATAAAAAAAAAGAAAGGAAAGGGCTTGAAATGCAACACTCACGGTTTCAGAAAAGATACTGATTTATTCCTTTAGTAATCCTCCTTATATACATTTCATATGTTTATTTACATTCAAGACGGTATTAAGGCTGATATCGCCGGTCTCCGGTCTTTATCTCCCCCCCACCAGTTTACGAACAGGATTTTTCGGAAACTTAGATATTCCTAGATCGGAGCTAACGATTATCAGTCTTAACACCTTACAATTGTTTTTACAAGTATAAAGTTGAAAGAAAGTAAAACTCACTCGAGACATACAATAATACAAAGAAATAAAAAAAAACAGAACTAAACACAACACTTGCTTCCAAAAACAGAGAAGAAGAAAAAGAAAAAAAAAATAATACACTTTCCTCTACTGTATTGCTATGATTCTATTTACACATAAAAAAAATACACCATATTTTTGCTTAGACAACCAAAAAAAAACATATTTGTTATAACGTGGTGAGGGTACTACGAATCCGTTAGTTTATGTTCCGGTTCTATCATTGGGAGCTTCAATTGTTCAATGTGGACCGTTCTCCTCTTTCTAGGTTCATTAACGCTTTCGATCGTTAGTAGATTATGCTCCCTAATAGCAATCACTCTGAATGGACCCTCGTATCGTAACAATTGTTTCCCTCTGTTGGTCCCTACTCTACGGTACACTATTGTCCCGATCTTTAGATCACCCATTTGGTCACGTACGCGAACATTCTGCCTCTCTACCCGCTTCTCCTTTTCCCGCTTAATTTTCGCCGTTACTCTTCCCCACGTCTTTTCCATCTCCACCCTATTGCTCTGGATTTGCTCGACTAATGGTTCATTAACCGTTGTTTCCCCGCAATCTCGCCTTGGCCTGCGCATCCCGAATAGTACTTCCACGGGCGAAAATCCCGTGACGGAGTGAATCGAGTGGTTGTAGGCTGTTACCGCTTTCTTCATTGCAACATCCGGCTCCAACCCCTTTTCCCCCTGATACACCCGGATGTGATCACTCAGCGTGCTGTGCAACCGCTCAATGCCGCCTCTACCCTTAGGATGTCCCGGGGTGTTATAATGCCAACGAATCCCTAGTCGTTTCACCTCCTCCCTAATCGCGGCATTGTCAAACTCCCTACCACCGTCCGATGTGATCCTCTCGGGGACCCCGTAGAACTGCACCCAGGTTTGTAGGGCTTCCGCAACTGCGTTGGCAGACTTGTCCATGACCTGGTGTGCCATAGCTACCTTGCTAAAGACGTCGATGACCGTGACCCACTTGAATCCTCTCCAGGTAAATGTATCAATCTGGAGGTCCTGTAGTGGCATATTCCCCGTCGGTGTCTCTTCCTGAATCCCTCTGGGGGGGTGTCGATCATATTTCGTGCGCATACACACCTCGCATTTCCCTATGACCTCTTGGATGGATTTTTTCATGCCCCACCAGAAATACTTTCGACGTAATGCCTGCAGTGTCTCGTTCACGCCTCGGTGGTTGGTTTTCCCCTGGTGATAAGCTAATGTGACTGCCTGTTGCTGTTCCTCATCCTGTATAGTTTCCACTGCGTACTTACAACGGATGAGTGTTCTGTCCACCCCAATTCGCTCGGATCTCCACATCCGCTTTATTTTATCCCATACCGTGTTATTCCCCACATAAAGATGGTGCGTCTTTCCAGGTTCCGTGGCGTCCTTCAGTGCCGTACAAATTTGCTCTTCACTCACCCCGGGTTGCGACCAGATGACGCGAATCTTGCTTTTCCCATATCTTCGATAATCTATTTTCATCATCCCTGCTACTCTCGTTTTCCAGATTACCTGACGATGCTTGTCATTGATGATGTCGTCTATCTCCTCCATTTCCACTGCTCTTTCCTCCGCTGAGCTCTCCTCTTCCGGGGACTCTCCCCTGTCATCTATACCGACGATATCCTCCGCTCCTTCGCCGTCGGGAGTCCATTCACTCAAGAATTGGCGCACGTCTCGCGATGGTCCTCCCCCGTCCTCTTCTACCGCGTTGATCATGATGGCCCTCGAGAGCCAGTCCGCCACCACGTTCTCCTTTCCCGGCTTATACACCACCTCTATATTGTATTGACTAAGGACTTCCTTCCATCGCGTGACCCTAGCTGAGGTTTCTTTAAGTTTCCCTACCCACTGCAGGGGTTTGTGGTCGGTGTGGACTCGAAACTTCCTCCCAAATACGTATGGCCTGAAATGGTCGATAGCCCACACTATCGCGAGTAGCTCCCTCTCCAAAGCGCTGTATCGCGATTCCGCACCCGTAAGCCGACGGCTCGCGTATGCTATCGGTCGTTCACCCTCACTCCCCCCCTGGGACAAAACGGCCCCTAACGCGTATTCGCTCGCATCGGTGGTTATATTAAAGAGCTTCTCAAAATCCGGGAACGCTAACACCGGCTCTGTCAGCAACCTATTCATACATTTGCGGATATTATTCTCCATCTCTGGTGTCACCACAATCTTCGCGCCTTTCTTCAGCAAATTGTTAATGGGTACCAAATACTCTGCCATCTCAGGTACGAATCTCCGATAGTAGTTCAGCGTCCCAAGAAGCCTACGGATCCCCTTCACGTCCCGTGGTACCGCCATCCTTGTGATCGCCTCCACCTTTGCCGCATCCGGTCTGACCCCCTCGCTAGAGATAGTGTGGCCTAAAAAATTAATCCGCGTTTGTCCCAGCAGAGACTTCTCGCTTGACAATTTTAGCCCGAATTTCCGGAGCCTCTCGAATACTGACCTCAGATGTCCCACGTGTTCGGTTTCCGTTCTACTAAAAATCAGCAGGTCATCCATATATACCTGACATACCGAGTCATCGATACCCCTCAAAAATTCGTCCATCAGACGCTGAAATGTTATGGGCGCATTCTTCAGACCAAACGGCATTCTTGTGAATTCATAATGCCCCCTTTCGAATGTGGACGCTGTTTTGTGTTGGTCTTCCGGGTGCATCCGTATTTGGTGATATCCCGCCTTAAGGTCCAACGTGCTAAAGACCACGGCTCCACTCAACCTATCCAGTATATCTTCGAATCTGGGGATCGGGTACTTCTCGTCTACCGTGTTATCGTTCAATTTACGATAGTCTACTACCACCCTGTATTTTTCCTTATTATCCCCCGGTGCTGCCTTCTTCTTCACTGCCCACAGGGGACTATTGAATGGTGAGGTGCTATCAACTATGATCCCTTGTTCTTTTAGACTATCTAGCTCCTCTCGAATATGCTGCCTCAACGCCTGCGGGTATCTTCTCTCTTTCACGTAAGTTACCCTATCCTGCTTCAGTGGGATTTCATGCACCGTCCTCCCTGTTACCCCTAATACCTCACCTTCCCTGAAGA